CACGTTTGGAAGAAACAGAAATACACACAAGCACATTCACGCACGGACGTCAATGGACTGGCCAGACTGTCATGTGATGTTGATTTGGCTTTGGCCGTGGCAGCGATGCCAGTAGCATTTGAACTTGGCATCTTGGTTGGCAGCGATGCCAAGTTGGAAGCGCTGCCAGACGGATGCCAGGTGCGATATATGACTACTAAATTAATGCATTGAGTTTGGCCGAGATGCTGGCAGCTGCGCCATGGCCTCCCGTTGGCATCCTAGTGCGATACCGCCCTAAAGCTTGCATGGTCTACTCAGACTCTGGTAATGTGACTTCGAACACCACTCAAGGCAGGAATCTATGTTATGCTGGCCTAAGAATATTAAGCTGGAGAAAGCTATTCAAATTTTGCAGCAAGATGAAACACTTATGTAGAATAAGCATCCAAGGGCTAATCCTTGGTGTTGCGCGATTCCTTAAATAATAGGGCAATAAGGATAAGACGTTTTCACTACAACTGTCTTATTTTAAGCGCACTTAAGTGTACTGGTACTATAGCAGAGGCACATCACAGAATGTTAGTCGATTCCTTGGTTAAAATTTGAAATATATGCGGCCTTTAGGTTAATACGAAGTATTCACTACCTAATTACGTAGTCATTTAAACAGATTAAAAATTCCCTTTCAATATTAATCTGTATAATTTACGTTCCACAATTTTTCTGCTGGTAACTCACAGAAACAAGAATGAGTGTTATAATAAGAAAAGGTGAGAGATGGTAGTTGTCGCCTATTAAATGTACTACTTGTCTATTCTGATGTCGAAAGAGAAAATCATTACAACTTTAAAGGGCAACTTTCAAAAGGCAAACAGGAGTAAGACCGTTGGCGTCTGCACGCAATAAAACGATAATATCTTCAGGGATGAAACACGGCACAAATCAACGTACAATAAAATATCGACTCTCCAGCTTACTGGAAGTAAATTCCGTAAATAATACTCAATCACTACGTACATTCAGCACAGATCAGACAGCGGAGCATTTGGCCCTCGGCACCAAACCGACGATCGCATTGTATCGTCTGTTTGTATTTATCATACGAAAGATCCATCTTGCGACAACGATGTCTCAGAATTCGCAGCATCAAACTTTCCCTCCAGGCTAATGTCGGGATAGTGCTTTAAATTAGGCCACGACCGCTTCCTTCCACATCCTTTCCAATTAATTATTCATTATCATCCTCTTATTTGACTCTACATTCCAATTAATTATTCACTATCATCCTCTTATTTGACTCTACACAGTCTGAAGTACTGAAAGGGCGTTGTTAAATAAACTATAAATAAATAAGAATTTAAATATGCTTTATATACCTACAACCTTAGTATGTACGAACCGGAATAAACAGACAGCTTTGCCATAAATTTATATTATTCTTACTACATGCACTGCCATTTTACTTAAAATATAAATGATGCTTAATTGCACCTTCTAAATGTGTTGCTGAATGGCTAATAGATAAATAAATCAGCAACGACTCCCACTTTTGGCCTTTGTTCAAGTTCATAATCTCACTATTCCGATTTCCAAATATCGATTTCTCATGGCATCAACGATAAAGTTTCGAAAGAAACAAGACTTGAAAACGTTCCGGGCCTCGAATCAAACTGTAATTATTTGTTGCCGATTTACCTGAATCCCGACTCGTCATCTCAACCTGGCACGCTGAATCATTGAGTCAATGACGACTGCTGATGTTCCACAACATACGCGAACCACGATTCGAACTCTACTGAGGAGCCAAGCGACACCGCCTAGCGACTGTGGCGCTCCCCGGTGGAAAACAGAAACAAATATATAACAATGGCTCAGAGCTTGTCAGATTACAGATTATTGCCATTCAAATATATCCATTTGCTGTCGATATAAAACGTACCTCGATTCGAATTCAGTCACAAGAAATTACAGCAAATTCCTTCTTTGAACAATATTTCCCTGTTAAAGAATCCTCCACCACAGCATGGTCCAACTGGCGGCACGCGAAAGTATGTTATTTTTTTTTACTAGTTAGTACAACCAATTTATTAAAAATAATTGTCGCAGGAGCAAATTTAAAACAATATAAAACTCTGTAGTAGTTTGTGCACATTTAAATAGAATTTATATTGCAGTATATGCAATGGTAATTTGTCATTTCTGAATAAATATTATTAAAGATAACGATAAAGCAGATAGTGACAATGGGGGTTTCTTGGCCCTTGGGTCCAACAGGACAACTATTCTGGCCCGAGCGAGGAAAAAAAGTTGGACCACCCTGTTCTACCACATTATCATTACCTCGAACTAAATTTCTAAAGGTCTCTATCGCAGTACTCCTGTGTTTAGGCTGTCTTTACCTGCTTATGTTACATGATTAGGTTCTGACAAATTAGTCTGGCCACATGAATTACTGAACTTACAATGCAGTACTATAAATCCTGTGTTAACCACCTGTACGGAACGTCCCAAAATCAGGGATATATCTTTGCAACAATTGCCAAACCCTCCAGTTGGTTAGAGAGCCGTACAAAATGCTAGGGTTGGTAACTATACGCAAAACCCACTACTGTACCAGAGCTGGTTGACTGGCTAGGTTAGAATAGCATTTCTTCAGTGTAGTAACTTTAGTGTTACTAGAATATGTTTGCCAAACATGCTGCCAATATTAAACTGCACGAAACAGTTATTTCAAGTTAATGTTGCATGGTGACTCGTAGGGCGGAAGTTTGTGAAAAATTTCGCTTTGTTTTTGACATTTCAACAAACTACAACAAGTAGACAAAAATGCGATATGATTCTACTTACGCAATGTTGAATCCACTTCCACCCTCCAATCCTGGATCTACAGTATTCATTTTCAAGTATTTAAACACTAATTGTTACATACGACCGGAACAAACATAGTTATGAAAATTACAAACACCCGCAACCTCTAACATGTCCCGGCAGAATGTCTGACAAGCTACTACTTCAAAGCAGCAATGCTGACATCTGTGTTTGAAACTGTGTAATCACCATATAGAACAATTGATTGTTGCAATATGACAAGGCGGTATTATCAAAAACGAAATTTCAGAATGCAAAGCAGAATCTAAAATTCGATGAAAATGACTTCTGATTTCAAACAAACCAATAAAAATGAAGTATTAGGCAACTTCCCAATTTGTAAATGTACCTACCATATGCAGCATAAAATTATTACAGATGATTCCTCTAGCTAGACTGTGAGGTTTATTTACAATGCATGCACTGTAGCTGTACCTTCCACAACAGTTGCAAACTCAAAAACTGCCCTAACCAATAATGTTAGAGCAGGTGTACAGTCCTAATAGCAAATTATAGTGTATAAGTGATATATGTATATGCACGTGTCTCTGTGCCTTTTTGTAAGTTCTCTTTCTTCTGTGTACCGGATTCTGTTTGCATGTGATTATAACTTACCAGATTTTCCCACATATGAACAATATTAATTCTTATTTTTCCATTACTAAGCCTGATTCATCAACATAGTCAAAGACCCAACAGCAAAAAAGTGATTCACTACAGTCCTTACCAGAGGTTCTCAACTGCATTCCCAAAATGTGATTGACGTGCCCTGTGTGCTTTCCTTTCAATACTGAATCATCTTCTACAATAAAAAATAGTTATCTGGTTTCAAGAAACACATTTTATTAATTTTGCCAGAATCTGGCATTACACATCAAATGTGAGAAAATGATCGTGTGACTGAAAAATGTCAAATAAAGAACCAGGATGTATTTTACTGATAAATACTTGGATGGATGCATGAGAATCATAACAGAAGTAAAACCTGATACTGAAAGAATATTCAAGTAACGCTACTGTTATACCTTACCAAAAACTGATTTTGTTAAAGAAAGTTACTAAGTAATTTGTAAGCCTGTTTGCGACAGTCAATATTTTGAATATACTGCTATCAAATTTTATGCCACAACAAAGTCTCAATTAATCCTCCTTATTTATGATCTTGCGGCCTGAGAGTTTATAAACAAGGGTGAATGAGGTCCTAGATCTGAGAACCCCTAGTCTGAACCCTCTGAAATTGATCAAAATATTTTCGGACACTTCTGCCTATAATCTTAATTAAATATAGCTTTCAGGACTTGCAATGGCCACTTAAAATCAGACATTTGGAATTCAAATTTGTTTGCTTGATTTTTTAAATCTTCCTCACTAACTAAAAAGAAATCCTGGATATAGCATGGAAAGCAGCTTATTCATGGTACGAAGAAAGAAGTTCATTAGCCTACCTGTGTACAGACCTCACACACAGAATGCTGCACATAGATTTGACTAGTGCAGTGTGAGTTCAAAAGTGTTAGTCAAATTCTGAGGCAGAGGTTACGAAAATTGTTGGAAGCTGAGTATCATCATACTTCATGTTCCATGATACACGGTCATAAATGAAACCATGGCATATGCATGCAACAAAGGTTATGCAATTAAAATAACAAAATTAATTTTTAAAATAATCAAGCAAGCCGACACATGAACACTACACTCATGAATGTGACTTAGTGCGACAGATCATAATGACTGTAATTAGTAACAGACAGTGTTTCATACAGTTACCAGCATTAATCAAATCTCGGGAAGGACAGTAAATTAAAACTGTACTAAAAGCAATCAGATTTGTTGCACTTGCCTATTATGTAAGAAATTAGCTTAAATCAAGTTTGTATTTCAATCCATGAGCTACGAAAATATGATATATTTAAGAGCTGACATATGTGCTATTACTTCACAGTGGAAGGTGACTTGAGCGGTAACCTTGTTGCTCCTACATGCTACGTAACAAAACTATTGATGATCTTTCCTGTTTCACGATTGTAGAGAATGGTTTTATGATTGCCTTCAACCATCCAGATATTGACTGTCTGTTTGAAAACCTGCAACAAGATTCAAAGAAAGAAGTACCTCAAATAAATGTGAATTTTAACAGAGTTATTGTATACACTCCCAGTAAAGGAAACACAAGAACTAATTATGAGACTGTCGAGATATGAAGATGACTCTCTTCTATTCAACTCATCAACTTGATGATGGAAGCAGCAAGCACCTTTGAAACATCAGTAAACTTCTACCCGGCCTTAAGGTGCAACGACCCAAGAGACAGACATCGTCATACTGTAAAATCTTCATACTCACTTTCATGAGAACCTGCAATCTTCCTCAGTGTGATAACTTTAAAAGAAACTACACTGAAACCTGAAATATTAACCTTTATCATCTGTGTGTCACAGCTTATGTGTGGTCCAGCTTACCGTAAGTTGTAGCAGCACACTAAATTATTAAATCTGGAGTTAAAGATTGATTGGCAGCCCTGTAGCACGAAAGGTTAAATCTCCTATTCCACACAATAAAGGTTAAAAAGAACAAATATGAATGTGTATGCAGAGTAATCAAAATGCACTATTCTGTTAAGGATGTAGAAGTAAAGAACAATGTCATACACACTACAAAGTAATTTTGTGAACATATTGTATTTCCACATTTTTATAATTATTACAATAAATATGGAAAATAAAAGTGTTACCTTAGTGAGACCGCAGTTATCTTCACTTTCACTGGTGGGTCGTACCAAGGTTACTTCCCCAGACAGCAGAGTTTCTGAATGTTGGTACTGAAGTATAGAAGAGATTCGGTCTGCCAACGCTGTAAATGCAATTCTAAGATGCTCCTCCCTACTTTGCATCTTGTGAGGTAGCTCTAACATAGCACGACTCAGTCGAGATGACCAGTCTGGCAGCTCCAGCAGTTCCTCATGCAACTGGTATCAAAATATTTGTAAGACTTGAGGTTCTCACAGTGGTGAGTATAAAGATTTCCGTCTTCTGGGTTGTTGCGCTGTGTAGTCTGGTTGATGTTAACCAACGTTTCAGAGGTCATACTACACAGCGCAACAACCCAGAAGACGGAAACCTTCATCAAAATATTTGTTGACAAACAGTTTCTATATAATTTGGTTTTCAAATTTCCAACACCAGAGTCACAAAACTGTAACATAAAAACATAACTTTGAATTCTAAATGGATTTTATGTATGGTTTATTTAATTACGCTGTCAGTAGCTCATGCTATGCAACATCAAATAACAAGATAATAAGTTACAGTACAACATGCGGAAGGAAAAAATCAAGACGTTGTTTAAGGCACTGTCTCCGAATTTGCCTGAAAGGGCTGAGTTAAGACCAAGAAAAACGTCAGTCAAGATAGCAAGTTTCCAGACTGAGAACTGAACACAGGACATCCCAAATATAAAGTAAGAACTTTATTTTAAGAGAGAGTAAAGCTTTGTCTATAACCCACAGTCAGCTTGTTTCTACAATGATTTTATTCCCCATTAGGTCAGTTCATCTGGCTAGTTCTTTTGCTGTTCTTTATCTTCTAACATCACTTCTATTTTATATGAGTCAATGGAAGATGCCCCATATCTCTTCTGCCTTAATTTCAGGCCAGCCATTCCCTCTCTTCTTGACACCTTCTAGTACCTTGCTAAACCATCTGGATCATCCCATTCGTCTCTTTCCTTGAAATTTTATTTTATGTGTGAACCTCCATGACCACATGTGAAAAAAGTTGAATTCTGTGACTGTTTTGTAGAACACAAGTTTTTCATAACTGTTATAATTAATTACACACCTTTCAAACTGTCCACTAATTGATAGACACCCATAATTAAATACACGATGACAAATAATATGCAAATTGGCATTTACCTTGGTGTTGTTTATTTGCAATAACCTACAAATGAGGTTTGCATCTAGTCTTGCCCCATGGTTGAGAAGTTCTACCATGCTGCGTGTCGTCTCTAGTGCTCCATCTAGTAGCACCACTCGAGTCTTTGCTCCCTGTTCTTCCAATATCTTTGCCAATTCTAGAGTGAGGACACCACCCCATGACACACCCACTAAGTTGTATGGGCCCTTTGTCTGAGCTGCTTGGACTTGCTGAAACAGTAGTTTGAAAAATGAATGAACTAAAATAAAGATTGTTACAACACAACACAAGAAGCAGTGTATAAAGGACTTCCTATAAATGTGTATTGACAGTAGGTAGTACTTGTAACAGATTTTGATCAGTCTGTCCTGAATCAATGGGTTGGTAATGAATTCCCATGATTATGACAGTCAAAAGAAGTAAACACTGTATTTTGCAATCAAAGAAGTTCCTTACAAACCAGATGGTGATGTGTTCTGTGAAACACTTGTTAGAGTCCATTTGCATTTTTCTCAAAATCAAGTCAAATCTAAGCACAACACACTTCTGACAATGTACAAGCATGGATGTAACTTACCTTAACTAATATGCTAGCAGTCTCAGCTAAAGAACCAATGGTTTGAGGTAATTTGGCATAGAGTGTTGGAAACATGATCTGTCTTGCCAGAGGTTTTAGCACCTCAGCCGGAGGGCCCTGAAGCCCAGGAATAATGAACACTGATGGGACTTCCTTAACAAAAGCCTTTCCAGGACTCAGTGATGGCAGCTCCTCAAGACAGCATGAAGAACATGTTAACAGGTCTTCACCAAATGCTGCCAGTTCATTTAAGGAGGTTGGCAAGAATGCGTCCACAGAAGTTACTGAAAGACCTGAAACATTTGCAGTGATGTGTGCTCTGTGGTTATGAACATATGTTTCCTTAAGAACCAATATAAAGCAAAATTTATTAACAGTGAAACAGCAGAACAAGTTAATAATTAGATAAATAATTTGACTCCATGCAGCATAAGCCCAGCTGAATCAGCGCAAAACAAAGGGCTACCTGTACTTGTATACAATACCAAGTATTGTTGATGACACATTACAAAGCCACAAATGCAAAAACACACTTATTATGTCCTTCTGTTTTTCTCTTTCTAATCTAGTTTAAGGTTCTTATTGTATTGTGTTTTATGCTATTTCTGTTTATTTCTTTATTCATTCAGTTTGTTGCCACTCCCAACTTTGCCACCCTAGGCAACCACCTAGTTTGCCTAATGGGTAAACTGGCTCTGTATACACTCCATCTGTCTTCTTCCCTTAGGGTTAGAGCTCAAAGTACAAACCCATATAAACAGTGAGTAAAATTATAGTTTTATACATTTTAATCTTTAGCTTTTGATAGCAGATGGGAAGATAAAAGATTCTGAATTGAATAATACAAATCAAAACCTTAAATTTAATCTGCTCTTAACTTTTATGTAATTTTTGTTACTGTGATTCCAAGTACTTGAATTCTACCTCACTTTCAAAGCATTACAAGCTAGTGTTACATTGTGATTTTTGGGTATGTTCATTCAGGCCAATAAACTGAAAACTTGGATCAGCTGCAGTACCTTTGCTCCTATCACCATCACACTTCTCCTCAGTCACTATCACAATCTGGTCCTGATTCTCTGTCGTGAGCAGCGTGTCCAGTATCTGCAGTGAATTCCGAAAGTTGAATCCTTTCCTTTTGCTGTGTGGCCAGTGCACTGAAAGAGCTGGCAATCCTTCACGATGCCTTGCTTCACAAGTCCACCAGCTTGCCTCTGACAGCAAACACACAAAGTGGCGTAATGTCTTGATGCTACGAGATGCAGCATCCAGATGTAACACTGCAGATGCTGTGATGCCATTCTCATGATCTGTCAGCTCCTACAGCAAGCAGACATATCAGTCAGTACCATCCCCCACAACAGAGTCGCTTTGGAATACAACATCAAAGCCTAGACTTTTATGAGAAGTTGGATGGATGGCAAAGAATCCATTTAAAAACTGTTATTTTTTTGTAAAATTGTTTTGTCATTAACCAATCATAATATTAATAAATTACACAGTGAAATGAATTAAATAAATTCATGTCCAGAGATACAAGCAATTTATCAAATGTCCTATAGATATTCATATAAACTAAGTGATAAGTAGGCCATGTGCAGTGCAAGTCTAGGAATTTATTTTTTGGAACTGATTTCAAACTTAGTAAATGTATAACTCCTTGATCTGTGTATAATTTCCTAAAGAATGTTGGTTGCACTGACATTTAGTTTAACTATACATAAAACAGACCCTTATATCATGTCAGTAAAGATAAATGTAGTACTGTTATAATGGTTTTGTACTGCGAAGGAATAAAAATGACATAATACTGTGAAAACATAAAAAGCGCAGAAAAAGTGATGATGATAAAATTGGTAACACTACAGTGATAGCAGTTCGCAATATTAAATGGAAATTAATGAAAGTGAGACAAGATGGTACAATGCAGCAGTTTTGAAAGGACGCATTTTACTAATTCTTAGTCAATGTTACTAATCTAACAGCGTAAGCATAAACTCACAGCAGGCAAAATGAAGATAGCACCTAATTTCCCTCCTACAGCTAAGGTAGCTACATGTAGCAGGTTGGTAGCACTGGTGACTGTAGTAGCTGCAGGAGTAGACACTAGCACCACGTGAGCATTGTGACATGACCGCAGCAGGCCGATTCGTCGTGTCACCTGGTTTGACACTGATTTAGAGCACAATGCAATCACCACCTGACAAGCTCCATGCAATACTAACCATTCCGCAACATCCACACACTGTTCGGCCTTCCCTCCTGCAACACGCAGCACTCAATAAATTATCATACTGTTTTATACTGGAAGTTCTGTAGAAGATGGAAAATAAACACAACAAGTTTTGAAAATTTTAATTTCATAAGTAGGACATTGATAATGTAATTCAAACGCTACCACTGTCTAAGCAGAAATTATTGTTCAAAGTCACAAAATTATTTCTTGTATTAATAATGCGAAGTACTTGCCAGCCACTAGATAGGAGCTCTTTAGGTCACATCTGAACCTGAACTGCTGCATCTTAGAGTGACCGTCTGCAGACAACGTCAGCAACACCTTGCCGATATGATGGACATCTGACAAGGTTCTAGAGAAGTGCACACAATTAAATATGTATTACATAACCAAACATGCCTCATCATGTAGTTGGCTCAGTCAGTAAGGTTTTCTTACATTTGTAAAATAACAGTATGAAGATAAAGAAGTCACTAGATTATTCATATCATATGCACATTATTGAAACTCTTGCATGATGTTTAATGACAGAATGGTTCATAATTTTTTTATTATTGTAATTTACTTAATGATAGTCAGTAGCTCAGGTTACATAACGTAAAATAACTGTATTACTAACGATTGATGAATTGCAGTGGCTATGGGAGGAAGTGGTCATGGTTGGTAAAGTAAGCCAGCAGTATCACCTGAATGCTTGTTGTGCCTGTTGTCTAGGGAACGCTGCACACTTGAAGGGCTGTACCACTCCTTTCTCTATCCCACCCTGAACAGCAAAGTGCAGAGCTTTCTTCCATTCAGATGGCATATTAAATAGGCTGCTTGTTACAACTCCAAAAATAGCTGTGTCCTTTAGAAATATCTCCATCCCTGTAATGTGAATGTGATTTTCAATCAAATATAAAAGAAATAAAAAGTCTGGGCAAGACAATACCAACACTTAATTTAATTTTCTTTAAAAAATACAGAGTGATTCAAAAGTCCATGTGCTACTGTAAAAACAAGCGTGGGAAGTGGTGACAAGAGTTGTTCTTACAAGTGCACATGAACTTCTGAATCACTCTGAACAGTATTTGTCCATTTATGCATTTCTTATATATGCATTTTCAGTTTAAAGCAATTGAAAAATGTGTATTGCTTCTTTACTTGTGCCATTTCATTTTATATGTTCACATAGTTACTGGTCAGCAACAGCAACATGGCAGACAACACCCACAGCAGATGAAGACAGGGTTTCTTAAAATGTTAACAGGATACAAATATATAAACAATTTACATGAATAAATGACCATGACAATTTATCATATGTGAGTTAACCCTTCTCATGGAAACTAACTTCTTCACTTAAAGAGCACTCTTTAGGGTATCTGACATGCAAGCAGAGATAATACTGTATAGGATAATGCCCATCATATTTCATAAGTAAAAAAACAGGAAACTGCAGCAACTGATAATTTTTAGTTTTTAAAGTTATCTACCTAATCTACACCTCAATAGCTCAATTTTAACTTAAGAGCATAAATCAAATATTTAATTAACTCAATAATAATGAATGCATTTTTTATATTTTGTCTTACCTACACCCTTGTTTCTGGTTAGATCTGCTTGAGCAAGCTGTATGAAGCGACCATGTCTAGCAAGACAGCGAATAGTACTACAAATGTCAGGACCACTTACAGTGTTCAGTATCACATGACAACGTTTTCCTTTGGTTTTGATTAGCAATGAAACTTCAAAATGTTCTAAATCCAAGATATATTCATCCAGCAACTGCAAACAACAAGACAAATTCGTTAGTTCAAATGTACTAGATTGAATTAAGCCTCTGTCACACCCCTTACTTTCGCTGTATCCTCTAACTAGCAAACCAATCACTTAAGTGTTACTGCCTTTGTGATTAGATGTGGCAAGGCTGTTTAAATTAAGTATGTTGTTCTGTACTTGGCATGCCTAATAGTTTAAATAATAAGCCTAAACTTATTGGGGCCAATTTAACTGTAATATAAATATAACCAGATATAAAAACAATGTGAGTGATGAATAAGATTGAAAAGGTGCAGTCCATACTGGATTACACAGTTTACACATACATTCCCTGCACCCTGACATTCTGGATTAACCTAGCTGTTATGAAAACACTGAAGAAGATGTTAACGCTTTAACCACACACTAACTAAGTTACGCATGTCACTAACTTGTGGGAATCGACATCTGATGAATGCTCTTTCTTCCTCGTTGGCAACTGTAGTGAAAACAGTACAGCCATAGTCAATAGCCAGAGCTATTGCAGCCTGTCCAGTGCTCGTCCAGCCTGCATGGACCAACACCCTCTGCCCTTGCTTCATTCTGGCTACCAGAAACAGCGAATAATAAGCCTGCAAATAATTCATATTGGCAATAGAATTAGATACACAATAATATACATAAAAAAGTAACTACATGTAGCAATGCTCTTCTTGAAAAGCTGATAGTTGTTCATCAGGTAAAGAAATTCCAACCCACCTCACTATGTACCCAGGTCTTAGTGACGTCGTAGACATTAATACTGCAGAAAATTTTACTGGTTTTATCGCCGATTCAAATCTGTATTGGGCTGCCAGAAATAGACTAATGGCTGAGAGGCCTAAGTCTGGCATAGGATAAATTTTTCTTTCAAGGCCCATTTGAACATTAGCTGCCCCTAGCCCACTGCAAACTTTATCTATCATGTGGTATCTTCTTTTGAAGTTTTCTGATATTTTATCTCACCCATGTGTACTACATGTCCCACCCATATCACTACAAACGTTTTCATCAGCACCTTATTCTCAAATACCCTTAAATTTAAGTTTTCCCCTTACAGCAAGAGACCAAGTTTCATGAATGTGCAAAAAAAAAACACATTCAATTATAGTTTTTTGTATTTAAAAATTTTGGGTTCTTGTGCAGGCAGCAGAAAGGTAAAAGATTCCAAACAAAATGGTAAGAATTCCAATCTTTTAAGTTTTCATCAAGAATGCAAGGTTGTTTTTTCCCAAATATACTAATTACACACACACACACACACACATATCTGCTATGTCATTAAATGAAAAACCCTTCAAAACTTTACCACGCTCGATAAATCCAGTTCCCAATCACTGTTTTATGTCATCAGAACCCAGCACTGAGCGGCTGCTTACCGTAGAGTAAGCCAGAGGGACTGTGGCAGCCTGCTGCAGGCTCCAGCTGTGAGGAACATTCCAGGTGAGATGTTGTTCCTTTGTCAGAGTGTGCTCAGATATTCGAGCAACTCCCATCAGTTCTTGTCCATCTGTGGACCTGCCAGAGAACTCCAGCAAATTGGCATGTCTGTCAGTTTGCAGTAACTACAAACAGATATCAGGAAAGGAAGTGTAGTACTCATGACATAACAAAACAATAATTAAGAAGCAGACTTTCACATGCAATAACAGGGATACTTAACATGGTACTTATGAACCCTTAGAAGCTTATTTTAGTAAATCAGCAGATTAAAAGTATGTAAAAAGAAATATCTAATACAATTCCAAATCACTAAGATTCCGAAGGCAGTGAAAATGTAAATGGTGGTCTTCTGAGTTGTGACACCACGCAGCCTTCTACATGGTTCTTAAACTTTCAGCTCTAAATATGCCAGCAGAATGTTTCTCTGAAACATTAACATCCATTTACAATGTCACAACACAGAAGACTGACACTGACATATTATTTGTACCATACAATATAGATACTGATCCATGACCATAAAAGATTAAAAACCACCGAATTGGATTGCATTGCACATAAACAATGCCATGTATGCTGGTGGCCTATGTTATACAGTGCAAAACTTTGGTGAGGAAAGGTCATCAAATTTCTATGAATTTCAAACCTTAATTGCATTAATAATTAATAGCTTTGATTCCATTATGACAACACATTTACATTAAAAGAATTGTGTCCATTCATTAAATAAAAATTATCGCACATTCAGGACCTGAATTAGCTGTTATGCTTTGCTACACTTTAAGAAGTTCTTGCTCTATGCAAACTTCTTCAACATTTTACCAAAAATCAATTCACTCAACTGTTAATTTAAATAACACAGTACTTTCTACACCTAATCTAATCTAATAATCTCACCTCATCTCTCTCCTCAAGATCAATGCTTTTCAGATTAAGTCCCAGGTACTGAACCTTCACATCTTCAATACTGTAACCAAAACATAAATCTGGCAGGATGAAAATATAATAAAACGAAGTTTTCTAGAGTAGTCAGTGTGTCAGGTTACAGTTCTGATCACAACAGATGCAACATGAAAATAAAATTAAAAAATCCCTCAGTATAATAGCAACCAATAGTCAGAGACAGAAATACAGCCAACGTCTTAAATGTCACATACACCAAATATACCTCAGACAATGGACAATGGCCAACATATTGATAATACTGGTACAATAAATCAACCATTACAGCAAATCTTCAGAGAAACATAAATTTTCGGGTTCCATAAAAGCAGTTAATTTCTTGACCACATGAGAAACTATCAGCTTTTCAAGGAAGGCAGTACAGGTTTTGTGAAATGAGTTACTATACAAAATATTAACCTATTTATGGGCAGAATTCATCCTGCAAGAAGTTGAAAGTTCTTAGCTTGAGTCCCTGTAAAGTTTAACTGTGCCCTTGGTTTTCATGTACAAACAAGGTTTCTGAATACAACCTGTGATTTCAATAATCTAAATCAAACATTATTTTCTTTTGTAAGATTTGCGATTCTCATAGCAGCAGGTATGAAGACGTTTGTCTTCTGGGTTATTGCACCATGTAGTCTGGTAGAAGTTTACTGACATTTCAGAGTTGCCTCCATCATCACCTTGATGATCGAGGCACATCTCTGAAATGTCAGTAAACGTCTACCAGACTACATGGTGCAATAACCCAGGAGACAGACATCTTCATAAACTGAATACATGAATAATGTAACTATGGGGTAATTTAAGGAAAAAGAAAACTAAAAAATTAAAATCTTCTGAATATGGACCACTGAAGATAAAACTTAGTATGTTAACTGAGCTACAAAATAGAAGATACATACCACTGTACTGATAGCAAGTGTGAGTCAACTGTCAATGTACGTGGAATGTCAGCATATACCACAGAAACACTGTGGAAACCACCCCAAGCTCCACCGTGATACACATTTGTAACAAGATCCTGGCACAGCTGTTGTCTATAAGGACTTTCGTCCACAGAAAATGATGGGGCAGTCTTGTCTGACAAGAAGAAACATCTGAAAGCATAAAATATTGAGATCAAAGAATAGAATATCAATATAATATGTCATTTATATGTTGTTGAGGTTTTCACACTGGTGAGTCTGAAGATGACTGTCTTCTGGGTTGTAGCGCCATGTAGTGTGGTAGAATTTTCCTAACATTTCAGATGTATGCCTTGATTGGCGGTTTCCTATGTCTGAAACCAATTCCATGTGCATGGCTTACTCATCGCTTTGATAATGGAGGCAGCAAGGCCACTATGCCACTAAAAATGCATCCTCAGTCGTAAAATACTATTCTTATACTATTTTGGGAAACTGCCTGACACAGTGGTGCTCAAGACCTAGATAGTATGAGTGCTTACCTGACATGAGCAAGCAATGGATCTGCCACCAGCTGTCTCACAAATGTTGGCAACATGCCTATTCCACACTGACTAACCGTTGCCACAAGATACAGCCTGTTGCTAGGTCCAGCTACTCTCACCTGCTCCAGCCATGAAAGAACATCTCCAGTTGGATGCATCACTTGGACTGCCTGTCTCTTTGGTTCATATAACTGCATCACACAATATTACATCATGAGATGGCAAACAATAATAGCTTTTCCATATTCCAAAAAGTACTCTTGTGGTTTGTTTTGTATGTATTTTGTATAAAGTTACATTTTCTTTTCCATGGCATAATATAATTCATCTATCAAATAGTATATCTCTTTCATTAACTACAAAATAACTTTTTGTATCTTAAGGCTTCAAATGAAAAAACTGAACTAGCTGTTCTGTTACATTCTACATAACCATCTTCATTAGAGTTAACAAGTATCTCACATAACTAGGAATACTACTTACATACCATTAAGTTTCAACTGCAGTAGTATGAGAAAACTGTCTGTTCTTGAGCTATGCATTCTGGTTAAGACATTGGACAAAGAGTACATTTACTTTTTCAAAAAAACATTTCAGACTTACGCTTCATATCAGTGTGTTAAAAAAACTAAAACCTTTCAGAAGTTAGATCTACTTCCATTTTCTGGATTGAGACTACCTCAAGTAGGTGGCCCAAAAGATTAGACTTTCCGCCTCCTGCCACCTGAAGAGAGAAGTAGAATCAACAACTTCCAAAATATTGTAGTTTCTTTAAAAAGTTGACATGTCCAGAAACCAATTTTACACAAGTTGCACCATCATCAGAAACCTTCAATCTTCAAATAAATTAAATTTGCTCTACCATGCCACAGTATTATACTTCTGTTCTAACATCGAGACATCCAGAACAAAGCAATGAAGAAATGCAATAATAGGACATCTTGTTTTCCACAACATCTCACCTTCCTGAGGAGTATGAGTTTCTTTCCGGCAGAAGAACATTCTGCCACAGTAACAAGATGGCCTTCAAGCTGCCACATCTCATTTTCACCCATAATGGCCAGCAGGAAACCATGTTCCAGCAATGTGAGACACTTTTCCAGAACATTCTTGTTTGTCACAACTACCAAATGGCAACAAGATCTTTCCTCAGCAAAGATTTGCTGGCAATCATCAGCAGCAACTCTCTTCAGCGTAGACTGCAAGAGACAATGTACATAAAATCAGCAAAAAATAACAACATAGTTCTCTAATACGGCATCTCATTGTGTTTTAATAAACCTTTTAACAAAATAGTCATTTTTATAATAAATTTATGGTTCATGTCACTTACAATTAGAATCACACACATCCTTCAACAACATATAATACGATCCTATAACCACTACCATATAGGTCACACAAGACAGAAATGCCAATAACAGAAAATACATAAAATTTTACATTACGATTGTATACATCACTTTATTGTTTTAATTGAAATTACACTATTGTAGCTTACTTTTATTGAGAGAGTTTTGTGGCAGACTGCATAAGGCTTTAGAGTAAAAAATGGACATTATAAGCAGGATTTGAGGTTCTCATAGCAATAAGTACAAAGATGGTTGTCTTCTGCAGCAAGGACTTCTAAAATGTTGGTAATGTTCTACATGGCACTATAATCCAGACGACAGCCATCTTAAAGGACGTTAAAGGCTAGAGGCAAATAAATCTGACAGTCAGACAGAGACTATAACATGAATTGCAACTTGTTCATAAAGAATTTGAATACAAGCTGGACATAAAATTGAATTTCTTGAAGAAGAAAGAAAGACGCCATGCCAAGTACGAGATTTTGCCAGGGCAAAATCCATCTGTCTCTCAGCATGTTACAGTTGCAAAATTACTTTATGGATTTGGATGAAATGAAGGTTAGAATGGCGTACTGATAAAAATTTAATTTTGATAGAGACTCGTCTGTTAAAAACCTAACTTTTGATAAGACCATTAAAATATCTTAAAATGGCTGATAAGATGTATCACATTTAACAAGAAACATATATTTTTAATCCGATAAACCATTATTTCGAGAATTTTTAAAACAGAAGCCAACTTCAATGTGGAGAATCTTACAAATATTTTCTGTTTGCAAATGTCATTGAAAAAACTACACACATGAATAAATCCATTCACCTTCTCTGGTTATTTAAGGAATGTTTAAACACCACAATTTTTTATAGGACAGACACATATATAAGAGCTGCTGAAAGGAGTCATACCTGCGAGTAACAAGACAAAACAGTCCTCAGGTGAGGGGCAAGGGTTTCTGGTTCATGATGACTGATGATCTCAATTACTGTCATGTTTGCATTTCTATCTGCCTGGTAGCAGTTCTCTACTACCAGTTGCAGACACATCTCCACAAATTGTTGCATGTTCTGTGGGAAGATTACACTTTGTGTTACAGATGCAAAAGACATGTGGTTTGAACAAGGTACCACGTTTATTTGCTTGTAGAATTACAATTGGAATTTTCAATGTGACTTCAAGCTCTGTACATGTTTTAGAAGTATGCAATGTGAAACTGTCTCACCTGGACATCTGGATTGATGTGTTGCAAGAACTTAACTGTTTCCAATTTAAAATTCAGCTGACAGAAAGAAGGCAGATCCAGAGGAATTGTTTTTATGTTCTGCACTTCAAAGCCACCACATCGCACCACACCCACAGAACGGTGATACACTGCTTCCAACTCTGAGTGCAAAATATACCTTATACACGCTTTTCATCACCAGTAGATATTGCCATAAAATAACAGAACAAACAAAACTTTATATCCAACTCAATGATGCATAAAAGCCTGACAGAATTACTGCCATTACTAAAGCAGATTTTCCTTGTCTAGAATTAACACATGCTTATGAACTAGACACTTGTAATATTACTAATGTCACTAGCTTATAATGGCTGACAACCTGAAAAAACTTACACTTCATACATTATATTACAAGATTTAACTTATAAAACTCAAATTAACCTATCACTAACCTAAATCCATCATTAAATTTGATAGATGACACATTTAACACTTTTCAACCATTTTTGGGGGAAAAAATTTCCTTCAAATTGATATACCTACAGATGTATATCTTAAAATACTTCCATTTGTATAATAAATACTGATATTTAATGAAAACATTATTATAGACAGGATGTATTGAAATATTTTAAAGATTCCTGAGAATGTAAGAATTTTATCACAAGAATTATTCATGAGAAAACAACTCCTGAGAATGTAAGAATTTTATCACAATAATTATTCAAGAGAAAACAATCAAGACCAAAATTTATTTTTAATATTTATTAAACCTACGTACTTCTCAGACTGAAGCACTTACAAAGCATAAATCAGTTCAGGAACCAAAGCAGTCAGAGGTATGGAACAGGAGAGACGTGCAGCAGAATCCTGTACATACCCTATGCATAAAACCGTTGTTTCTGTCTCATTGTCCAACAGGTCACTTACACGTGAACGTGACACACCTTGTGTTTCAGAATGGTGTTCCAGTGGGTTGATGATGACCTTCTGCAGGGTGCTGGGCAGGTGCAGATTCTGGTATTGTTCTGCAGACTGCAGCATCGCCAGCTGGAGCAAAGCTTCCCCAAAAGCAACCCAGTTGTCTGACATTTGTACTTTGGCCACAGAGCCTACAATAAAACAAAGCATACCTGACAGCTGTCTTGAAAACAAATGTTGGCACCATAATCATGTTTCACAAGATTGCAACTGTCTAACCTGTACAAGACAAAGAGTAACAATAATTTAAACATACAAAAATATGCATTTAAAGTTATTATTGCAACATGTAGTGAACTGTTTAATGAGACTCTTTAAAACACAGCATAATTTTGCATTCAATATAGAATAAAATTCAGCGCAGGAAGCTGAATGAAACTAGAATTTATTAAGCTCTACACTTCAGGTACTTTAATTTTACTTAGATAGTTATTTAAAATTCCTTAAACAATGTACTTTAGATATTCTTAAACAGCTGCAAAGATACAGCAACAACTAAATGAGCAGAGGTCTTAGTTCCATTGTCATTGGAAGTTTGTGATCAATCAAATAATTTCACTACATGACTGCAATATCTTCATATTCTTAATTTGCCTTCACAAACAGCTGCTGCTAAAGCAGACCAACTGATTACATTAATATCACAGAAAAAAACAGACTTGAAGTTCTGTGGACCTAGGTCCCAAACCGACTGTAAGGAATTAATCCTGTATAATTATCACACCTCAATGCAGATAAAACACACTTTTACAAAACTGTAGTATTGTTCTTGACAATTTAAAAATGCATTTCACTTTCTAACATAACAACATAGAATAAAGTATAAATGAAATCTGAAAGAAGTTGCCTAAAAATACAATATATTATGAAAATTAGTGAATGATATCTCTTGAGCGAATGCATTAATGATACTATGCCTTTTGAGGGGGAAAAAAAAGTTTTGACCTGAGAGATGCAATCACTTCTGACCTTGGTTGGAAAGTCTAGCCTCCAAAATTCCCTTGAAGAGACCAGCATATTGGTAGCCTCTCTGCTCCAGCTCTGCATATACCTCCTCCCCACCCACAGCAATGCTTCCACTTCCATCTGGTGTTGGCAACTTTCTGACATACTCTTGTCCAATGTTCTTGGGTGCTCTAACTCTCCCTGTTACAAGGACTGTGTGATCCTTGCAAATCTCAAATTCACCACTTCCTCGCTGAACCATTACGTAGAGATGAAATGAACCTGAATTAAATCAGACAATCTATAAACAATAAAAAGGTGGCTGTCTTCTGGGTTGTAGCACCGTGTAGTCTGGTAGAAGTTTACAGACATTTCAAATGATGATGATTATGGAGGCATCTCTGTAACTTTGGTAAACTGCTACCAGACTACACAGTGCTACAATCCAGAAGACATCATCTTCATACTTGCCATTGTGAGAACATAAAATTATACTGTAAACAATAAGCTAATAGACAAAACAAAAATGACGACTATAACAATCTATTTGAAATACAAGAAACATAAAACAGTTTCTTCAAATACATAGCATCTTGCAGATTCTATTCAATGTTTCTTGTGTTTACATACCTTGCTCAGGAATCTCCAGTGGCTGGAGTAGCCTTACATTTTCAAACACAACAGGCAAGTTGGTATGTGATATGTCTTGCAACACTGCCAAGGTCTCCCACACAACTTTCTGTACAAAAATAAAAGTGCCAAATGCTTATACATCAGCCAAAATAAGAGTTAATATGAAAAAGAAAAAAATATGAGAAAGAGTGAAAACAAACAGAATAAATTAAAAAGATCATCTATCATTAGGTTCCAATAATTGTAAATACAAAGGTAATTAAAAAGTGAAGAAAGTCTGACAAAACAATCACACAATAGTGAGAGAGTATAAATAATTTATTTATGTAACTGCCCTGCTTTTAAACGCTTTGGTTTTCAATAGTCTACAAGTTTCCTGAATCCACCCTAATAAAATTATTTCAGTTCTTTGTGGAGTAAACTATTTATTTTATACTGCTTTAAAAACACATATTTATAGAATGGAACACGCAAGGAAAAATCTTACCAGATATGCAAAAGTAGGATACAAGACTCGTCCATTAATGACGTTCCCAGCATACACGCGTACATCTGCACGGCTGAGGCTCACAGTTACATCAGCTTCCCCAGAGCATGAGTCAACCTGGAAGGTATTTTTTTCATAAAACAAGCAGAGGAGATATTTCTATAAATCGATCTAAATTCATGTGATTTGTTGCGATGAACATCATCCTGATGATGGAGGCAGCAAGTACCTCTGAAATGTTGGTTAAAAAAACTTGTTATTAATATATAAAAAGACAAAGGTTCCAAATTCCCTTCTCTGTTTCTCATGGTAATATTAGAACAATTACTTACAAGAGTGATATCATCTATAACATGCCAGTTCTCAGTGTGGTCCCAAGTGACAAGTGGTGATATGGATGGAGTTCCTCTACGTACTGGGAACTGCACTGCTGGATATAACTTGGACACTTGAGGTATGGGTCCTGCCATGTAGATTCTACAACACAGCACAACCACTGGAACTAGAAAAGTTATATTTACATTCAGTGCTAACAACTGAATATGCTAATTTCATTAATCCTCTGACAACTCAGCTATGTATGTACATTTACAAGTAATTTAAAAGATGATGAGCAGAATATGCACTAGATGCTCTTTTTTTTTTACACATTCTTAGTTTTAAGACATATGGCACATTTTACTTGCTATCTTAGTCTATTCAATGAAACTGGCATGACACTTACAATTCCATATTTAGGAAGGACACCTGTTTGACATAACAATGGTTTAGATGCTGAGAAACTACACAAAATTCAACAATATGCACCATAGGTACACTTTTTGGTCTCAGTTTCTGTCCATTTTCACAGTAAGAAACATTTTATGCATATCCAGGTTTAGATTACTTAAGTAGGAGAACTTTATATAAGTGAGATACCTGCCGATAGCTGACAGAAAGAAATGGAGTCCCTGTGGATTTGCACGCTGGGTCAGGGCAATGTTTGTACATTGAGGACTGAGGGAGCGATGCAGGATTGCCTGCAAAAGACCATGAGGCGCCACTTCGATGACAATGGCATTTTCTGGAATGTGTCTGCTGGCCTGCTCAAACAACACGGGGCTCAGTAGATTGTTGGTGTGGTATTCTGCTGAACAGTAGCGTGCTAATGGTGTGTTCCACTGCTCCTCTGGCACAGATGAGCATATCCAACGGGCTGACCGAGGTTTCGGAATTTGGATAATCTGAAAAAGTTGAATCACCAACAACTTTTGAATTGAGTGATACTTCAGTCACATATGACAGACTTTTGTTGTGAAATTAAAAAGATGATGAAAGACATCAACTCAAAGATTTATGTGCAGTTCAGCTGGCCATGTCACATTAGCATATCTCTAAACCATTAACCCAGAAGCTAAACCCCCGCTTGCAGCTGCATAGTACAGGAATTTAAATCCCCTGTTCCCATATGATAAAGGTTAAGTCACCTTGCACGATCATGTCTGTCAATATGGGATGTGTTTCCAACATTTTGGATACTGTCTCTGAATATTACTATCTGGGACTCATGCCATGAGAAATCCAGTCGTTCACTATATTTGTATATACAATGAATAAAAATCATATATTATTTCTTCTTTACTATCTTGTTAAACATAAGCCATGTTTGAAAGTTGTCTTCAAAGACCTTAACCACATTTATACTGCATGTCTTGTTCCCACTTCTTTGCTGTACAAATTAAACATGACAAAAACAAGTCATTTGTCCAAGAAAATCAAAGAGAGACGCAATGACAAGAAGACAGCAGCCAGTATTTTGCACATATATAAATATTTCAATAAAGTATGTTTTCATCAGTTATTGACTGACAAAAAGCAAAATGTCAGTTTTATACCTACCAGGTCTAAAATCAGTACAAGTTTAGGTCTTTTCTATGCTAATTACTCCTTCATTTGAACTTCTAAATTCTCATACATTTGCTTTACAAAAATCTCCTGTATATGACTCCATGTTCACTAAAGTTAAATGTATTCTCTAACCTTCTGTAGGGATTTTAACAGAGCAGGTGCAGCAGGTTGTATGTAACGACTGTGATATGCAATGTTAGCAACATTGACTACACGAGCAAAAACGCCTTGCTCTTTAAGCTGGGTCACAAATCTTTTCACAGGCTCCACAGGTCCAGAGATAGTGCAGCTACGCTCACTGTTGTGGCATGCTACATCAATCTCTGGAGGCAAAATGTTCTTCACCTGCTTTTCACCCAGACCTGCAAATTGTAGATTACTCACATGAATTTGTTATTATTATTATTCAGTGTTCTGTCTTACGACAGGTCCATTGCTCTGCCCAAAAAGAGCTCTCCAGTTTTCCCTATTCTCTGCTTCTCGTTTTAATTCCTGGAACTTCATCTTCTTTCCTTGTTGAATTTGTGCACAATTTTAATGGAATCAGCATTCCAATCGGTAAGAAAGATGCCAGTACCAGGATATAACAAACGTGAGGTGGGAAACATAACTTGTTGAAGTTAAAATAAAATGGCTCAGACTTCATTCTGTTAATTTTGGTAACAAAATTTTTTCTGTTGTATGAAAGAAGGTACAAGTAAGCCTTATATTTGCCATAAAATAAATTACGAAACAATGTAAGAATTACAAATTCCATAAATAATGTTATAGATGAATATGTAAAGAACATGTTGAAAGAATAAACTATGACAACACACTACCTACAAAAAATAAAAGTTCAACATGTCAACCCAGAGGATGAGCTCTAAAAATAGACAGGCTCTGCTTTGTGGCACGTACAACAGGCCCACCAGGCATCTACACAGAGGCATAAATTAATTACAGAATGGTTAATAAACTAGTAAGTAATTTAGGAGATGATGAGAAAGATGACCTTTGAATGTTCATGGAGTTATCAATGTTAGACAAAATGAAATATATATAAACATATACAGAGTGGTGGACTGGATTAATCTGGCTCAGAATACCATTTCATAGCAGTTTCTTTTTAACATGGTAATGAACCTTTGGGATTCAAGAAAGGCAGAGGATTTCTTGATCAGCTGAGTGACTATAAGCTTCTCAAGAAAGACTCTTCACTACTGAGTTAACTTAATAAAAGACTTATTGCTTAACAGAAAGCAGCAAATGCCTCACCAATTGCAGCCATGTATCCTGTGATAAGATCAGATTCTATAGAAGCCATGCCTCGGTAGTATGCAGCAAGCAACATTTCCTCCAGAGTAAAACATCCATCTGCATAAGCACAGCCCAACTCCCCCACTGAGTGTCCAATCATTCCATCAGGTACAATCCCTAGAGCTGAGAGGGCATCCACCAGTGCCAGCTGTTACAGGAGAAAACTATGAAATTTGTAGCTTCCTTAAAGTTTACTTCATGAGATATCAGGTTCTCACAAGGTGAGTACGAAGATAGCTGTCTTTTGGGATGTTGTACTTTGTAGTCTGGTAGAAAGTTATTGTTCCATCATCACCCTGATAATGGAGGCAATAAGCACCTCTGAAAGGTTTGTTTCACCACTAAATAATATCACACAAATTTGTTTTCATTTATGATGTACTTAAATGTTTCAACATGGCATGAAAAGTGTCATTCTATACTATGCCCACCTGAACTGCTGCAATACCAACAAAGCAGTGCAGAATGGTGTCAAATACAGATGGATCATCAGTTGTAATTATGTGTTTCAGATCCAGTCCCTTCTCTTTGAGAAGAGTATGACACTTCTCTATGGTGGCAGCATATACTGGTAGCTTCAAGAGGTCACGACCCATCCCTGGCCACTGACTTCCCATGCCAGAGAACACAAACCAGATGGGGCGTTTTATACTATCCACATGCTGCAAGGATAAAGTGTAATGTGTAATACCTGTAATCATTAACAACTGTTAAAGTGATCCTATACAATGCATAAGAGTGATGAAAGCAATGCTTTTGAAATAATGAATCCATGGACATGTTTGCATATCTTACAAATAAGAAATGCACAAGAAAAATCATAAAATACAAGACCCTTAATAAACTGCAATAATGGAGGAGAGAAGCGATGAGGATAACTAAAGAAATTTAGGAAAAATGGTGGGAAACTGCCAATTTGAAATTTACATGTTCCAGGTAGACAAATCAATACCAGGCGCTCCTTCAACAAGCTGTCATAAAAGGAAATTTGGTGGAACTGAAGACGGCCATAATTTATTAAGAAACATTTCTTCATTTAATGACGCTGTAAGAATTCGTGGAGTATACATCATCCAATCTTCTTAGCCAAAACCTTCCTTCACCCTCAGTATTCAGCACTTCATCCTTACCAAATTAAATCCAAGCCTCTAATCCTGGTTTTTCATCCTTTGCTTCAGAATGTGTCAAATCAAAAAGCACAAATCATCTTATGAAATGCCTCTTTTCTATATGCACAACATTAAAATGCAACAAAATTCATCAGCCATACCTGAATATCATGGAATGGCTTCTCACCCACTGGAAGAATGGTATAACCACGAAACATATGGTTGCTTATATTGGATGAATGGACATCATGCATCAACCTGATGAATTCCACATCCAGCGGCATTGACTCCAACTGTAAACATTGTAACATTGAAACCTAGAAACAGCAGGGCAATGACACAGAATTATGCCTTTTTATTCTGACTAAAAATGAATCCTCAGATAATGACTTCTCATAATATATGCTCATGGGAGTTGGGTCTGGGATTACAGAGTAACTATACAATGCAGACATCAAATCTTCAAAGCAATGAAATCATGTCATAGTCACATACTTTACGGATCAATTCTTCCATTCCCTCCTGTGTCCTCCCAGAGACTACCACAAGTCTTGGGATTCCCTCATAGTCTTTCTTCTTTAGTGTATGAGGTTCGCAGGACTTGAGCAGCAAGTGTCCACATACTCCAGTCATACCAACTGCATTTACAGCTGCCAAACTACCATCCCACGGTGTTGATTCTGTTACAACCTGAACAGACAGAGTTAATCAGACAGGACTTACAAATTTATATATTTATAAATAATGATGTTTGGTCATATACGTCCGTTTTCTCTTCTAGTTTCCTCATCATACTGAAATTTTATAGATTTCCATCCCTTCAGGCCTCTAGCATAATTTATGAGGGAAAAATGTAAAATATGTTTAAATATTGGCAATCACCTAAAAGACTACGCACAGTCACAACTGACATTCTCACTGTAATGAGAACCTGAAATCTTAGAAGTAATCTTCATGTTTCAAAACTGATTCTGCATTTTCAAGCCAAAGGAATGAATCTTTCTGTTACCATAGCTGAGTTAGTCAAATGTAATTAATGTCCAGTACTACTCACCTTAAGTCTGTTCTTTACAAGTGCTGGAACAGTAGGCAAGGGCTGCTTGTAATGGATGTTGGGTGGGATCTGACCTGTCTGCATCGCTATCAGCACCTTAGCAATTGCAAAGAAGTTTGATGCTGCATTTGCATGCCCCAGATTGGATTTGACTGAGCCAATGAGAAGAGGAGATTTACGGTTGCGGAGAAGGACCCTATCCACCGCATTTAGCTCCTCCTCATCTCCAGTCTGCAGAAGCAACACAGAGTGACAAATGTCATCCTCAAATCCTACTTAGGAAACGTGTATTTTGCACAGTTAATGTTTGAAGGTTCATAGTGATTGAATGCAATGAAGTCTTCTTGGATGATCAACCATGTAAATATTAAGTTAAAATCCAAAGTTTCTGAGACTACCTCTGCCCCCATCACCAAGACAGAAGAGAAGTAAGAGAAATTACACAACCAGGATTTACTCTGACTCCATCCTGGAACCCAGCCATCAACATACTCTGACAAAGTAGGGCGTGTATATAATTCGTAATTCGTTACGTACAAATTTTGTGGGCAAGTTTATGGTAAATCTCCATTCCACATTGCACACATCTAGCTGCAGAGATTCATCAGTTAAAACAACCAAACATAAAGCTAAATATACAATTTAAACACAGAACTTAAAGATCCTGCAGTTATGTGACCTAGAGCCTCTCCCACCTCAAAAGTTCTAACAGCCGCACCATTCGTGCTATAAATAATCATAAAATAGAAGGACATCACGTTTAAAACCAATTCTTTTGAACAGTTTCCAAAATTATACACTTTCTTGTCACCTTTTCCACAGTTCAACTGACCTTAGTGCCACTACCATCAGCTTCTAGAAATTGCAATGAAGTGGGGTCAACACCACAGGTCTCATAGAAACGCTCCAGTAGACTGATGAAAGATTCTCGTGTTGGTGTAATGAGGGGCATCGTCCTATCCCCACATATCTCCACTGCAGAGTGCACCACTCTTGCATATATACGCTTAGCAGACTTTGCCTTCTGGAGTAGCATCACAACCACACCATCACTCCGGGCATAGCCATCAGCTAGAAGTAAGACACACCTAGACTTCCTGCTAAATAGCAAAGGTATTCTTCACAATTTAATTGCATATATTAACCAACTGATTAAATAAAATAGGTTGTCCACAAGACAGTTCAGCCTCTTATTGCTTCATTCTTGTAACCATCACACAGATTCAAATTAAATAAAAAAGAAAAATGATGATGACCCCCTGTAATGTGACAGATATAAATCACGATTACAGTCTAACTCAGCCCAAACACATTTGTGCATTTCTGGTATTATGGTTTCTACCATAATCCTGTGTTTTAATGTTTCAACACTGTTTACATACCCAGCTATTCCATGAACTGTACCTTTAATGCATCCCCAGAAAAAGAACTGACATTAAATTTAGGGGCCTAGTAGCCCATAAAATAAAACAACAGAGTCCCGTAACAATAAGTCATAAGGTTACAACTGTGAATACTGATTTTGGTGTAGTTTTACTCTCCATAAAAAAGGTTATAAAATAGTATTGACCAGGGCCAATAACACAGTAATAACAACACTACAACACTTTGAATAATACCAAAAATATGGGTCGGGGATCTACAAGGAAAAGCATAAAAATATGCTGATGCTGATTATTCTGTTAAGAAGGACTCATCTTCATGTAGATAGTTGCAGCTGCAATTCACCAGGACACTAACCTGCCGCGTCAAATGATTTGGTCTTCCCATCTGGAGAGAGAAGTCCAAGTTCTTTATAATGGTATGACAGTTCGGGCAACAGCACAAGGCTGACTGACCCTACAAGTGCTGCATCAAAATGACCATTCTTTATTCCTTCATATGCTATTGTGATGGCTTCCAACCCACCAGTCTCCATTGATGTTAACGCATAACTTGAAGCTGGAAAATAATCCTAAGGTTCAAGTTTGTGCCACCATAAATCTAGTAACCAACACAGTAACTGAGACTATGTGAGAATAATGATGATTTATAAACTGGCAGGAAACATAAAATATCAGTTAAGGTCCCATCATGATAAACTTAAAAAATCACACAAGATTTCATTGAGGTAGGCAAATACTGTTCAAAATATTAATTGGTCATTGCTCATCAAAAACATGAGTGTTAACAATTATGAAGACATTAATTATAAATTAATAATTACTCAATTTAGTGATATATATATAATATGCATAATTTTAAACAATATACCATTAATTCTCCTGGATATGCTAAAGTTTAATTGTTTCTCACCATTTATGTTAAGCCAGAAGGATAATCTGTTGGCCAGCATTGCACGACTGTGCCCCAGAAACTCTAAACCACTGTGGTAGTTGCTGTACAACCATGTGTTTTCTGATTCACTGATACTGGCACTAGTCAGTACCGTTGTATTGCTTTTGTGCAGATCACTGGGATTTAAACCTGCACCACATAAAATAAAGCCGTTAAGATGTTTTACTTTGTAACACATTCAGACTGGCTAGAATATTTTGTAAATTTAAAATTTAAAGTTCTCACAGTGAAAAAGAAGTAAGTAAAGCTGTCCCACTATTCGCCATGTAGGCGCTTGGGGTGAGAGAAAGTATAGCTCCTACTCATTCTTAAGCTCAGCACTAGATAGGGGTGAGTGGTCAGCATCATGCCCTGGCCACACTTTATCACCAGGAAAGGACCCTGGAACTATTGGACAGGAGGCTGGGTGGGCCCCAGAGCCAGACTGGATGCAGAGGCTATAGGAAAAATCCTCTGCCCCTGGTGGGAATGGAACTCCATTCGTCCAGTCTGTAGTCAGTCACTATAATGACTGAGCAACCCCGGCTCCCAGTCTCACAGTGACTAAATGCAATGAAGTCTCCCTGGATGATCAACCACCATAAGGTTACTAGATAGATGGCATCAGTGCATTTATCTCAGTAAAAAATTGTGCTGAAGCATGACTGTGTGGCTGTCATCATCTTTCAGCCTGTATTACAAGCAAGTCCCAATCATTTCTGAATGACTCTCACACTAGCAACTTACCAGCATCAACAATAGCTTCATATGACCTCTCCAAAATGAGGCGAGTCATAACATCAAGAGATGTGCTATGTTTGTGGTGAATGCCAAAGTAGCCAGCATCAAACTTGTACTTCTTGCTTATCTGCCCCACACGTAATGGTACATGTAGTTTCCCTGTAATTAATGACTATTATAAGAACACCATGTGGACATGATAAAAATAACATTTCAGGAGTTGACTCCATTTCCATCTTCAGGTGACTGGTCCTTACAGCAGTGACTATTATTATTATTATTCGATCAATTCATCATTTTACAGAGTGTTTACTTCTATGTCACATGTTACACTAAAAGATATTACTGACTTACATTCAAAAATTCTCATGCCACTTTTACACACCAGTCAATATAATTAGGTAAATATAAAATAAAATTCTAGTAACATGTCATATTTTGGGGAAAAATTAATTCTATCTATTGCATGAAACCTTGAATTAGTAGTTTAATATCCATTGAAAATATGCCAGAAACTACTACTGCAATTGTGTCACCAAAATGTGACAAAGGAGAAAAATAATTTTTTGTGGTTTTCCTCAGTTTCTTCTAATGACTGCCAGAACAGTATTTTTTATTCAAGTCATAATCGCCTCCATCCAAATCCTTACTTGCTATTCATAATCATTTTCTCACATCAAATTATACTACGTAACATATGCAGTTAAAACAGCATGATTCAATAGCCCCAAACAAATTAAAGCAAATCCCACATATGACAAGTTATTAATATTGTGATGTTCACAGCAGTCTGAAACACTCACCATTTTTCCATTTATTGTCTTTCATTGGTTGCACCAGGTCTGCCATGCTGAACAAATTCTCTCGAAGCTCATCAATATTGTCAGACATTGGAAACCGGCCACTGAAGCCAGATATGACAACATCCTCATCTGCAGCTGCAGGGTTCATATTTACATTTACCATGTTGATGTCTGTCCAAACAGTACACCTATAATAGCACACAATAAAAACAACTTGTGATTATATGTCTCTCTCTCTCTCTCTTCAATGAAATACATTGGCTTCATCTGTAGGGTCCTTCACAGAACTTCTGAACAACTTAAAGTTTATCTTAAAATCTTAACAATGCCAGAAAAATGTAAATTTAGGTGTGTGTGTGTGCACACACCACTACTACTGTTCTTACTGCAGCTGATTCAACTACTTTCAACAGAAGTCTGGATATCTTACAGGACTGATCTTTTATGTTACATAAAGGCTTCACACAGTATCAACAAGAAGACAATCCTGCAGCAATCAACCTCCAGTTCTATTGCAACACAATGTGCAGAGTTTCATCAAGACATGAAGAAGCTCCTCATGTGTGCAGGTGTCAATGTCATTTTTATAATTTCCACACAATGTGTGTGACAATGCATATTCTTACTAATTATATATACTGTAACAACAATAACCTCATTGCAATTTGAATAACAAAAGACAATTAGCATATGAACCTGAGATCAATGCCCCCAAAGCTATACAACCTGTTATTTTTAACATGAACAGGTAACATCAGTCATATAATTAAACATGGGCAATACAGTGTCACTGATCTTCAACCAGATAAATCCAATCCAAACCCTTCCACTCCATTTTGCTAAAATCCATTTTCGTGTTAATCTCTCATAAATGTCTAGGTTTTCCAAGTGCTAAAAACATTCAAAGTGGCACTCAAATAATCACAACCCCACAGCAAAAACCAAATTTTCCACTCACCACGCATCATATGATGACAACCTTAATTTGATAAGGTCAGGGTATGTGACAGTATTAAAATTCATTCTAAGACAAAAGAAACAATGATAACTCTGTAGCTTATAAATAAAAATATGTTTATACATTTACAGGAAGATATAAATTCTGAGCTACTGGCAGTTGCATACAAACCACAAATAAATAAAATATACTGAGAGATATCAGATTCATGCTCAAATCACCACATGGAGGACCAGAACAGTGCCCCTTTTTTACCAGTGATTTGCAGTTCCATGTACACATCTTCCAGACTTTTAGAGCAACCTAGAAGTGCATAAAGTACTGTCCAAGCAATGCCTTATAAACCAGCCCAGTACTTCAACATGGAGTCAGAACTGGATTTTAGGTGGTACTACAAACAAATTTTAATCTTTAATATGCTATGTGGAATACTTCAGAACAAACTTAATACATCATGTCTTTAATTTAATCAGCAGGTGAAGTTGACAGTTCAAAATGTGTTAAAAGAAATAGGTGATAAATTATTGCAGTGGTTTGGATATGTAAACAGAATGGATTGAACAAGGATACCACGAAGGGAATTTTAATAAAATTTGAGAAGAGGCTCATGGGACATCCCAGAACAAGACGGTTGAAGAAATAAGGATGGAAAGATAATGAGATGAAAGTGATCGGAGACATGCCATCTGTTGACCCATATAAAATGGAAATGATGCTAGAAGACAAATATAAAGTTGATGGAAATATGCAAAACTTCAAACATTCACAGCAAGTAAAAGTTAAAAAAGTTTCTCACGTGATCAGTTGTGTCAATGTTGAGTAAAATGCCAGTCTTGAGAGTGACTGACATACATATCAGCAAATCTGGCCATTCCTCACACTTACCCTGATGATAAGGGGTCCACAGTGGCTGCGCGGTCTGAGGCGTGGGCCTTGTGCCGCTTGGTCGCTGGGACCGTGGGTTCGAATCCCACTCAAGCCATGGATGTCTGTCCCTGTTTTTCTGTGTTGTGCTTGTGACGGGCCAATCCCTCGTCCAAGGAGTCCTACCGAATGTCTATAGATCAAGCCAATGAAAAAGTTGGGACCCGCAGTGCTCAGGCACTTGAAGAACAGGACGTTCCCAGTATCCCTGTACCCTGATGATGAAGACAGAACTAGTCTCCAAAATGACATTTGACTAAACTCCCTCTGTTAATGTTTAGACTTTATTTTAATTTCCTTCAAAAACTGCATTTTGGGACACAAGAACAGCTTCTATATTCTATTTGTATTCAACATGCATTCATTTATTCATTCATTCATTCATCCAATCATTGATCCCAAATGTCTGTAACAATTATCAAAGTCTCTTATTTTCAACAATACTTGAATTAATCCAGCTGTAGAGTCATACCCATATATATAAATAAATAGTTGACTTATGAGAAAATAAAAGGTTAATTTTTGTACCACATAATTGCCTCTTTTTTACTTTAACACAATGATTATCATTGTTCATGCTGTAGTCTCCTTCCACATCCACTGCACTTCCCAATGAATAATGTGTGGGTTTAATTTCATGCTAAAAATATCTTTTGCTAAACTTTGTATTAAAAATTATTGAGACTATTGGATCACTATTAACATAACGTAATTTACGTAACTCCCTTCCACTCTCTACCAAAATGGAGTAGCTGACAGCCTACACATGCATCATTACTAATCATCAGGGCAATCAACTTACTGTGTGTTGACACAACATGTTCAAATTATACAAGCACATTTCTCACATTTGTCATCACCTGTTCTTCCTGCAGCATTATGTAAGCACTGCTATCCACCTGTTACCATGAACACAAGGAGGATGAGAATACTAAAAATGTTTGTATTCATGAGAAAAATATTCAAAACTCACAACAACCACCATCCAAACACAATAAGGAGAAAAAATTCAGTTCAATTCTCTCACAGCAAATCGTATTCCTTGTTCACACTTCCCGCCATATTGGATCCAAAGAAGTTAATGAAATTGTTTCTGGCGCCTTAGTATTGTGCTGCCGCCCATGAATAATTTATAAGTGAACACAACCTCGGTATGTATCATTAACTCGATCGGTAAATGAGGTAACTACTTAATAGAATTTGATATTATCACGGCAGTGAGTACGAAAATGGTTATCTTTTGGGTTGTAGCGCCGTGTAGTCTAGTAGAAGTTTACCAACGTTTCAGGTCCTTGCTGTTGCCATAATCAGGGTGATGAGTAAGCCACGAGCATGGAATCGGTCTGAGATATAAGAAACTTGGCCAGACCAGTGCAGAGTATTCGGCTCCCAGGTCCTCGCTTGATTATGGCTCTGCCTTGACTGACAGTTTCCTATATTTCATATTATATATTGCTTGATGATGGAGGCAGCAAGGACCTCCCCACAGAATTTCACAGGATTTAACACTAGTTATAAATAATGACTTTAACTAAACAAATTCTATACAAATAGAAAGTTATGTATTCTGGACAATAGCTTAATCTTATAGGATATCACAACTTTTTGATTACACATGAATCTTTGAACAACTTACATTTCAAAATCTTACCTTATGCTCACAATGCAACCAGTTTTTATCAATAAGATAAAAAGTATAACTTAATAATAATGTACTTTCAATTTATATTAACAAAACAGAATGATCTAATACTTTGTTTACCACACTCACTGAATTAGTTTTGTAGCGGTATAGAAAAGTATTCTTAGTTGATGTAAATCATGGACATCTACAGATGAAAAGTCAAAATAAATAAATAAATTGTACAATCTATAAATTAAAATTATTTTTCCAATGCATTTCTCCACAATCAAGCGTAGCACATCAAACTATCATGGTGATAGCATGGACTATGTGAAATTATATATTCATTTGTCCCAATTTTCATGTTACTTCCCAGATGCCTGAAAAGTCCTGGGAGTTGCACAGATAAAACTTCTTGAATTTAGCCCAATATGCATGTCACAGAATAGCCAACCATTCTGTTCCTATGTGTGGAGAGGCTTTTTAAAAAACTCAGATTTATTCTTACAACTTCATTTCATGTGCAACAGTGACATCAAAACATTATGCGATTTGAGATTCTCACATTAGTGAAGGTCAGTCCTGGTTTTCTGGTTTGTGATGTCATGTAATCTTGTAGATGATTACCAACGTTCCAGAGGAACATCGACTCTAAAATGTTGGGAACTACCCATAAGAATACACAGTATCTCAGCCCAGTATACCAAATATAGAAAACATATATTGACTGTGAAAGATCTTGTATACCTGATTGCAATGAAGATAAGTTTCATTCAACAAGTTTCGACAAACATTGTTATAAAGACATTATATAAACATATACTTTAGGATTAACTGCTGATTTATTAGAAATGGACATAAAGAACAACACCTCAGCAATCACTTCTTCACATCTTTAAAAAATATAAATGGCCAGTACTGCACATGGATGCACAGTTAGACATAGTACTTCTATGTATCACAGTCACTGTTTCGCTGCCTGCTCCAAGACGTGGCTAGTGTTCAGTGCCAAGGAGGAAAGTTACGAGCCAGCAGAGCAGAAATGGCAGGACGCTAACTTCAACCCGTGAACTGTGCCCACACAGCTCAATCTCTTGCTCCTGAAACCATATTTGAAACATTTCACAGTTGTTAACTATAACCATAACGAATGAGAGCACTGAATAAATCACAATTCTGAATATGAACTGAAAATGTGGCCCCAAGAATTGTGTTAATATAATCTGTCTTCCTATTTTGTGGTATATATTATTCCATGTTTTACATCACCATAGCAATAAATAATCTGCAAATAATACAAAATTATGTTAATGTAGACCAGAAAATAGGGTCAAAATATAAGATGAACCTGCAGAAAGTGGAGAAACAAAAATCTCAATATACAGTGTGCCTTGAAGTGCCACATATTTATTACCATTCTTAGCAAATTTTGATAGGTATTTCCAGATACATATTAATGCTATATTAAAAATACACCCTCGGATATATGGGTTGTTCTTAGGGACATAGACTTAAGACTCTGGGAGTCTTCATGATTATTTAGAAACAAGGAAAACAAAAGCAAGATTTTAATTATGAAAACTTTTCTAGAATGACAGTATAAAAAACTACAAAATATGCAAAGACACAGAGAAGCACTAAGTCTACAAGCACTCACCTTAGGATGCTGTTTTATGCAGGAAGTAGGTCTTTTCTGGGGGAGATCAGAGTGCACCTTAAAACATGCCAAACTACTATTGTATCGGACTTCATCTGGTGTTATGCTGAGTTTTTTTTCTTCTGGGAATGTACACAATGTATCCACCACTACCAGAATCATGTTACTAAAACTTATTTTCTGAACAACAAATGGCCTGCAATAGAATTCATAAATCCAAGGTATCAGAACATTTTGTGATAGACAACAACATACATACTGTTTATAACTCACATGTTGGGACAGCCCTGGTTCAAATAATGACTGGATGTCAGCTGCAAGTTCTTTCACTGTTTCTCTGGGAGTGAATAATCAGTGTCACATGTCAGTTACAATTTACTCCTGGGTAAAGAACCCCAAGTACCCATTGAATAGGAGGCTGGGTTGGCCTCAGAGCCAGTCTGGATGCAGAAGATAGAAGAAAAATTCTTTGCCCCTGCTAGGGATCAAACACTGATCATGAAGTCCACAGTCAGACACTATACTGACTAAGCTATCTCAGCTTACAGACTGAATTGTACTTTTTGTTTCAAACTCCACTACATAACAATCCTTGCTACCACACAAATAACAGTCATCCATTATCTTGTTTAAATCCATCAGAAAGCACTGATTATAATCATCCTGCCATTTTAATTTATAAAACAACACTGAGGGAGTTTCAAATTAGCTAAATAATTAGCCACCACCTTAAAGTAGGTCATAATCACATCCTTCAATATGCCTCAAAGGTATAATTCATAATTATTTCACCTTTTCTCTCAACATTACAGAATCTCAACAAATGAGACAGCAGAAATGTATGAATCAATGACAGACAATAAAACTCTACAAGGGTAAGAGTTATTATTCATAGACTCGAACCATACCTGACACACCCTTCATCTGCTCTTTTGCTGAATACTTGGTCACTGTGAGACTGCAACTGGTACAAGTCCACCTCCTTATCACACGGCTCAGGACGCGTCCTGTTAATCTGCAGTTTCTCATATGGCGGTTCTGTAGGCTTCATATTTTGTTCTTCTAATATCTCCACAAATGTAATGTCAGTGGGTATGTCAAAGCCATCATGATAATCTGTATTAGCAGAATATAACAGTTACACAAAATGTCTCAAAAATATGTATACACACTACTATTACATACATCAGCATTGTACATACATATTTTGGGACATTTTGCATATTGGCAACTTCAGCATGTTGAGAGAATGCAAAGAGACAGACTTCCAAAACTAATAAATATTAGAAACCTTATGGATTAAGAAACCAAGGGAACCTTTTAGATGAATGAGGGCAGAATGGGCCAAAAGTAGCCTAACACCCTAACTGCTAGATGAAGATGATGATGATGATGATGATGATGATGACTGAGCACATAAATTCTTGAAATGTTATTCTATTCAGTAAGGACATCAGTGTAAGTATAACAAAATATTACAAATAATTTTAAGCTGTTATTAATTTAAATATCTTGAAACGAGAGTAACAAAAAACAATGTTCATGACAATTATGAACAGAATAAATCCTGACAATATTGTTATGCTACTGTTATTATTATTATTAAGTTGGGCGATTTATGTAGCTCAGATAGGAGGCAAGAAATATATACAAATTCTTTGGAGAAACCAGTTGAAAAATTAAGATAATGAGAGGATGACAATTTAATTGATCTTAGAGAAAAGGTTATGGCTGAAAATGGTTAGAACTTGTTCAGTATTACCAATGTTGTACCTTGAGGTTGTACTATCAAAGTTCAAATAATTGCAGATTATTAATTTAGTAGTTACTAGTGTTTTAAGCAAATCAGCCAATCTATTGGCAAAATTCTTATTTCAATCAAACTGGGTACACACAAATCATCCAACACTTACCATCTTCTGAAGCAAATGCCCAACTTAAGTGCCATAGAAATTTGAAGTTACTTTCTACAAGTAGCCATACAATGTTACCAATAAACCACTCCAACATCCACTTCAGATGCGTCAGTGGCTGAAACGGACAGACACAAGAAGAATTCAGTACAATGAAATTCATCACAAAAGAAACTTCAGGCATTATTATATTTTTTATACCCTTTCATACATTATCCTCTAACTTTTACTTTGTTAAGTCCACATATTCTCCTCAGCACTTTGCTCTAGAACATCAGCAATCTGTATTCCTTCCTTTGAATGAGACATCAAATTTCATGCACAAGTAAGGCAACAGCAAAAATTGCAATCTTATACATTTTAACCTTTACGCCTTCAAGTCAGACGAAGAAAGGGAAAATAAGGGACTCTAAACACTACACCCCACACACCTGTCATTCTCGTAGCATATCCAGTGTCTCATTTCAGTATGTGCATCCTCACTGTCTTAAATTCTGCATCTTTAATTATTAACACTAAAAGTTTTCATATTTAATTTCACATTCTCACATTAGGATATGACAAAGAAAAACACTTGTAACCATAATATAAAGCATAATAAACCTACCCATGACTAAATTTTATGACATGACAAAGTCTGCAGCTCACCGTAATAAGGAACGGTGCTTTACTCTTTGTGGCATCCTCTCTGAAGCAAACAGCTTGATAGTCAAACATATGAATTCTCTTGTACAGGCCCTCTTCAACCATCATTTCCATAATATTGCCTTGAACTTCCCCAAAGAACTTCCCTGTGTCCCTGAGTGACTCTGACACAATGATGTAGCCGTTGTTGTCTAGCACATAACATTCCAGCTCATCAGAGTCACATGTCAAGCGGCAACTATCGCACTAAGAGGAGACAACAGAATACAGTTTATAGCAAAGACAAGTCACCATTAAAAATCAAACCTCTAACCCATGCAGTTCAAAATATATTGTTAAATAAACGAATGAACTAGAAACTAAACACGTGGCAATATTTTCCTAAATTTCTGTACTTTTTTACTCAACTGCAAATCAGTTTCGCTGAGTGTAACTTACAGTGCTGGTGATGTTCTTGAATAGTGCATGTAGTGACATGTGTCTAAACTGAAACCCCACCACAGCCACTGGGGACCTGTACATCTTATTATCAGGTTGGGCCTTATGGCTGAAAATGGCATGACTAGCCGTTACCAGTGTCTCATTCCTGTAACCTGGAAAGTTAAATGCTTTTACAAAAATATGTGTATAATGTAACAAATATGGCATGTTTGCAAGGATTTTAAATATGACAAATGATTTCAACAAAAGTAATATATTCAGACTTTTATCTCATACATTCCTATGGAAGAAGCCACATTGTCAATGCAAAACAAATTTACATACTTCTTATCACAATTCTTTCTGCTAATTCATGCCTATAAATCCACAGCCACCATACACATTAAACAAGTGCAAGATGCAGAAGAAATAATATGTCACAACAGAGACAGGACAGTTTTGAAAGAGGGACTTCTTACCTTCTCCATCATCGAATGGCACAGAGTACACAAAACTTTCCTCATCCACATAGTGCTGCTCAACAGCTCGCTTGTACCATATCTCATCTAAAGCTCTGTTGTGGACATCACCAAAACGCCTGTACAGTGTAATATGGCCACATAAAGATATTAATGTACATCACACACAGCCTTCTAATTTGCTTATAAGTGACTTTCATTCTGTAAGCATTTATAATCTCTAACTGTTACCTGTCCTGTCACCATTAACTCAGCAACAACAATGTAAAGTCACACAAAAGTCATTTGGTTTATGATTCATTACAATTACTGCATTACCAGCTTGGTTTATGCATTACCAAATTATAATTGACAAGATTATCATTAATGGTGATCTGGGGAGTCTGGGAAAAAAGGGCTGTAGCCTATTTTAAGACGACATCAAAGTATTTTCCTGCAATAACTAAGGAAAATCACACATAAATTCAGCCATGACAGTCAATCTTATAGTAGAGACTCACAGCAAGTAAGTCCCAAATACAAGGCAGGTATGATAACCATTTTACTAAAATGTTCATTTGCTTCTATATGTTTTCTTAGTCTTTTTATCATCCACCTTTGATCTTGAATTTATTTAAAACAGACACAAATCTACTGTTGACAGAGTACAGAAACTGCATTACAGAGTCATAAGCAATATTATTAATGAAGCTATGTAACACTTTAAGTATTAAAATGCACAGAGACATAAAACAATTTACATAACCTTGTATTCTGTCAAATATATGCCATACTGAGAAAAATCTCAAACAGTTATTACAGATCTCAAGGAGATATGCTTCATGTCATTTACCAGTTTCTTGTAAACTAAGCAACTTTAAAGGAATTTTTTCAAGACTTAAACTCAGTTTCATGTACAGGAAGAGTTATTGTACTTACGGTTGCCCTCTGTTCTCTTCCCCAGGGAATTCCTGCCATCTTGTGAGTCCACTATGAGTTGCAACAAATGCTATTGTGACACCAAACCTCTGCTGAAACTCCTTCCTACAAACACACAAGCCAGTTCCATCTTAAGACACGTGTATCTTTGTAGATAACATATATGTGAAATTCATTACACGTTATTAAAATGTTAACAATTATAATCGTTTTTGGTATCATACATGTTGAGACATTACGTTTTATAAGAGCAGTCACACAAATCTTACTGGCTAAATCTTTCATATTTTATGAAGAATCCTGGTTCTGCTATGTTAAGTTTCTGTATCAAATTATAAGACTGCTATCAAGCAATCCCATTTGCTTTACATGATTTTGTGAATACAGAAGTGAATAAAATGAAAGTGAGTTAATTGTTTTATAATCAACAATCTCATAAATACTGCAAAATACCTACTGACAACATTTTGTTTCTCATTGTTTATGAGGTGTACAATTATTACACCACAAATAACATTCAGAATAGATTCATAGACAATATTTAAATTAGGAATGGGAAAATATCTCAAGATGTGTTAAAATAAAGCAACAATACTGACTAAATCATGTAAAGAGATTCTTCAAAGTCATCATGGTGCATACTGCCTGCTATTCAACTGGTTCCAGCGCCATGCCACTTACATGCATTTGAGGAGTGGTATTCAGGCATAACATATAATTTTCCAGTAACTGGTCATCTCTGTATAATAATGTTTCTCTAGAAATATGACAAAATTCATGAACATTATGGCTTCATAAACAACAGAGCATAGAAAACAAATCCTTTGTTGCTGCATGAACAAAAAATAATGCTCATTTCAATCTATCACAGTCATTCATTGTTATCGCTGATCCTGTTTTTGGATACTAGCAATATGTGAAAGTGTACTGTGTTGCCAGCATTTCAGAAGAATATACTGCCTCAGTCTTCCAGGTCTAAGTAATGAGAACACAGGCCAGCATTTCAGAAGAATATACTGCCTTAGTCTTGCAGGTCTAAGTAATGAGAACACAATTGTGTTGCATACAAATCAGGTTTGGTCTTGTGAGTCTCACTGGAAAGGGAGTAGCCAGTGCCTGATCTGAGCTAACAGGATTAATGTATAGGAAGTAGCCCTTTCCATAGCACCAGCCACTTTCCCCTTGAACATTAGTCTGGGTGGACAACATCTACCTGCATATATAACCTAACTTCCTACACATTTTGACACCAAAGATGGAGGCACCATGTTCCTCTAAAATGTTGCCAATGAAGTCCACTTCCACATGATGCTACTACTCAAAAACAGGATCATATTAGTAAAAAAACACTGCTTTCAAATTGTTATTCAGGATTACCTCAAGAAATACTGCATCTGTAAACAGTACAAAATAAATGGTTAATAAAACATATTTCAGCACCAGAACAGAGAAACAGCGAGAATTAGTAAAACAAAAGTTCAAGTAACGTCTTGACAGGCATGTGTGCTTCCTTAAATGTATCAGTCAGGATGTGAAAGTTTGCATGTATAGTCTTTTCTGAACGTCAGCAAGCCACTGTAAATGCTGCATTACACCATCGTTTAAGCACGTGTAACTCCTGTACTGTGCTGACACAACTTCAAAGACAGCTTATGAAATAAAAAAAATAAATTAAATAAACTTCACAAGTTTTTTACATGTTTCTGCATCCAAACCCTGCTATAATACAAGATCAGTCTCAACGTTATGCTAAATACAAAATTTAGTTGTAGTAGAAAGATCTTCTGGCGCATCAAAGTAGCCAAGTTTAGATATAGTAGACCATACTGATTCCAATGGCTGCCAATATGCCTAATATAGTATGAAAGTAGTGAACTGAATTAATTAATCAATCAATTTCTTGCTGTCATAATACAGAACAAATAAATAACATGAAAATAGATTAGAACACATTCACATTGTAACACATTATATTCTATAGCAAACTGTGTTATAATGGCATTAAAATGTGCTTTTAATTTTTGAATCCTGTTATTGCACAATATATTCTGAAAATTCAATATGATCTGTAAGGAGTTCTTTAATGAATAATTCATGAATGCATTAAAATGTGCTTTTAATTTTTGAATTATTCCACAATATATTCTGAAAATTCAATACGATCTGTAAGGAGTTCTTAAATAAATAATTCATGAATAAATATACAAATCACTCTTTGAGAAACTGTGTCTGGTATCTGAATGAACAGCTGAAACTGTAGTTACTGTACAAGGTTATGTATTTAAATAATACTTTATTCAATCACATGACAGCATTTCATGTTTCTATTGTGAACCTGTATGAAAATTTTTATAGGCTAGTTTTCAGTAAAAACAAACTTTCTATGGTGTATAAAATATTGATAGTAGAAATAACTGATACACAAAAAAGCTACACTTAAGGCAAAATATTCAAATGACAATGTTGATGACACATGCACACATATAAAATATGATACAAAGCTAAATCATTCTCTTTCTGCAGCAGAAAAACCTGTTGAAAAAGGTTATGCAGATTAAAAGGCAAAATAACAGTTAACTTCTTCACTGTCACTTATTATCATGACTCAAAATACATACAGGATACAGTACATAACCTCTTAATGTGTAGAATTGTTTCATAGCAAAAACTGACAGAACCCAGAGTGACTATCTGAAGATTACTTATAGAGATTTGTAAAAATTATACTCAAAAGGCATACTGCAGATTGTAGTGGACAGTTTCAAAACATACACTTTTCATAGCTTCCTTGTATCTTGTTAAATGCACAACATATAAAAACAAATGTTTCAAATAAGAATTTATAAATCTTAATTTAAAAGACGTATTTTATGTCACATGACCATATCTTCACAACAAGCCATGTGGCTACGTATATTTCAGAGGAAGAAGCGGAAAATATCTTTTTCCATTAATTCTGGCAACTATCTACAAGATTACACATCACAACCAGAAGACCACAGTCAGCATTAATTATGTTACATGGTCAAACTGAGTTCCATTCATAAAGTCACTTGAGAAAATAACGCTGCCAAGACAAGTTTTTATTAGGCATGTTAATGAGATGTTACTTTACCTTGGAAGCAGTACCATCAGCATGGCAATGGGGCTATTGTGAACAGAGTGAATAGGAAGGACATGTAGAGTTAGTGACACAGTTGGCAGTCTTGTGTTGTGATTCTCTGAATGTATGTGATACTCCTGTACCAATTTTATGTTGGACAATGTCTGTTGCTCAAGAAAGTCTTTTCCAAACCAAGTTATTTGTACCTCTTCTTAAATAAAAATTACAACATATCTTACAAAGTGTATGGAATAGAAATAAGTTTATCAACATCAACATTGCCAGTGTAGCTTTGTGCATGTGACAATGTCCAGCATAAAACTGACACACAAAACACATGCAATCTTTACAATTTACAACTTGTGTGTTGCTTATTGGATTTAAAAAGATAATTTGGTAGATAATTTAATTTATAAGTTATATTCAGCAACAGCATTTGTACCTATCTTTCCATTATACATTTCCTTGGCATAAAAAGATTTACTTTTTAGGAATCATCAAAAAGTTTAGAAACACTGAAACTTTAAATCTATTTTTAGTTTAGAAATTTGCAAACTGTGAAACACAAGATGTAACAGTTTTGATTTGCAATTAAAAGAATATATATTATGAATAATTCTATAACTCTAAAAACCATTACATATAATAACATTATAAACTAAATATCTTATACTTGTAAATTATGAATAAAATAAGTAAAATATGTTCAAGTGTTTCATGGTAAATGAGTGTTTAACAGTGTATTACACTGACTTCCTTAAATAACTAGTAAGAAACAACAGACTCTCTATGGAATATAAAGAATTTACTGACATTGTAACTTACTTTGAATCTTGATTGGAACTCATGTTTCTATTAGAAAACCATTCTGTTGCTCTACCATCAAATATCAAAGAAAGAAATAGTTCACGGTCACCTAAAAAAGTTAAAATACAAATTAATATGCAAAGTAAATAGAGATGCATCCTCTGATGTGCTGCAAATACAGTATGGTCAGAACCAATGACAGATATAATAGTATTCTGTTAACTAATTAAAATGTTAATATTAATAAATAACAAAAACATTCTGATGGTCTTTCAAAGTGTTATTTTCAGGATATTTTTACCAATAAAATTTTTTCCATTAGTTCCAGAGTGGTTAATATAAGCCAAAAGCAAATGTTACCTTAATATCTTAATATTTGCCATTAATAAATTACAGAAAAACAAATCTGACATCACTGTAATATCAGAATTATTTAAAAAATCACAAAACATTAATCTCCAAAACACAAGCAAGTTCCATTACCTAACAAAATTCTAATAGGTATTAAATCAGGATTTATAGCATGTATTTAAGGGCAGTGTAATGTGTTCTACAATTTATATTTGCTATTATGTTACTTTCAGGATCAGTTAGAACATGCATCACATTTCCAGCTCCACAGCTAACATGAATGAACATATGGGGGTAATGATAAACAAGGAAACAGCAGGCAACTAACAATACACCAAAACCTTCCTACAGCAAGGACTTCCATACAGTGAAGTCATTTAATATATCAAAGAAGTAATGACTTCTATATAACAAAGAAAGTGTTTGGTCCTCATAAAATACAGAGTACATACAAATGTCCTACATTGAAAAAACTGACATAGTAAAATTAAAGTAAAGGTGTCCCACTATACACCATGTAGGCACTTGAGGGAGAAAAGCTATAGCTCTTACTCATTCTTAACCTTTGCTCTAGATAGGGGTGAGTGGTCAGCATCATGCCCCAGCCGCACTTAATAAAAGAAGTATTAAACATCTTACCAATCATGAATTATTTTAAGTAATATTATCAGGTAACATATGAACCTGCTTGCAATAATAGACATAATTTAATTTTTTTTTTAAATTTAAATTTCCATGCTGTTACAATAAGCTGTCCTAATTTGTAACCTTCCAGCTTGTATGTTAAAAAGACAGTCCCAGGTCTGGAACAGATTAGGCCCTGCTCTAAAACATGGTTTTCTTGACTAATAAGATTTATAATAATAACCCAATATCATTTATGAGAGAACATCCACAAATGTTAGTGAGTCTGAAATAGGTGAAGTAATGCTATGCCGCTACATGCTGTGGAAGTGCTTGTGGGGAGAGGAAGTATAGCTCCTACTCATTCTTGATCTCAGCACTAGATGGGGGTGAGTGTTTAGTGTCATACCCTGGTCATGCTTTGTCCCTGGAGAAAGAACTCCCAATACTCATTCGAAACAAATCGGGGTTGGTCCCACGACCAGTCTTGATGCAGAGGCTACAGAAAAATCCTTTGCCTCTGCTGGAATTAGAACCATAGTGGTCCAGTCCATATCAGACAATATACTGACTGATCTATACCAGCTCATTCTGAAATAACCACATGAATACCTCATTGCAGTGGTCCACGTTCTTTTAAATTTTCTGTCAACCTGTCCAAATTAATGCTTCTATTGACAGCAAACTGATTGAGTTGGCCAGGCAGATTCTTCTTAGTTGTGCCATAATCTAAACTGACCAATTCTTAGAAGCTGATCTCAAATTGAATTTAATTCATATATATAAAAATGTATAACTCCAGCATGCAAAATGTAGGTTGGGACACCACAGTCAATAAAGTGAAGTGAATGACTAACTTCTTCACAGGTGAGTTACGTAGTTTATAAATTCCATACACGTGAGCCAAATATCATGGTCAACATTTCTTTTTTAATTCAGGAGCTAAATATACAAATCTTGGCTAGTTTCAAATTATAAAATAAAAAATGAATTGGGTAAATTAAGATTCATCTGGCCTGAAGACAACATACTAGAGGGTCCTGGGATAGACGATTCCTGGTCAGAGTAAGAATTTTACTCTGTCATCACTTCCAGGCAGCTAAAAATCCCTTTCCTTAGGGCTCAAGTGACCAGAGTATAAGTGATCATTCACCTCCACCATGTGCTGGGGTTATAACTGCTGCTACGTGATTTGAGAGCAAAGTGCTTACACACAGAGACAAATATATCATCAGATACCACGCACATATTTTATTTCACCATTTCCTACGTCTTGAGCATACAGTGATCTCTTGTAAACATTTTTCAATGTGCAGGTAACAGGCCACCAGTTCTTTCACAGCCTGTAGGTTTAGGCTTCAAACAGGGTTAAAAGTAAACATTCTGTAAGAAACTACTATAATAAGTTTGTTATTTGCAACAAACCAGGCGTGTATTGGTAACACTGGAGGTAAAGCAATGAGCCATATGCTTGCAACAGTGAGTGAAGTGTGTGAACATTTGCCAACAAGTGTAGTCGTGCCTGCTCCCCAGCTAGGGCGCATTATCATGCAGTTCTCTAGTATAACATGTTATTATGCTACTTGTTATTTCACTACTCATGTGTATGATACTTTATTATATGCTATAGTGCATTGTGGACATGTAGCACTTTTGTAGGATGCAATTGATTTGTCTTAGTAGAATGTTTTTCTTAAATTTTTGTTTTACTCACAGAAATATGAGTCCTTGTCCAATTTTTCTGATTTTCCCCCAGATGTGTTAGCTGTGGAAAAGAAATAGTTTTGGCATGAGAAAATAAACCACAAGAGTGTAATGAGTGGGATATAATTTTGTAGAGTGTAGTTTTGTGTTGTTCAAAATCAGGATTCGGTAAAGAATGCTATTTCATGAAGTAGATGTAATATAATATATAACAATCACTGAAAGATAAAGATAAAAATAAATTAAAATCATAAAATTGTTGTAAAACAATATATTTCAATTCAACATAGGCAAGTCATGAAGCATGCAAGGGGAAAATAAGAATGCATAAAATTTGTGGTTGGAGAACCTCACAGGAAGCAACCATTTGGGAGATGGACAGACAAGAAGATAATATTAAAATAGGTTCAGGGAGATAAAATTTGAAGGACTAAACTGAATCGAACTATCTCAGTGTAAGGTCCTGTGGTCAGCTGCTGTCAACATGACAACAAACCATCAGGTCCCACCCCCCTTCCAAGAAGTCGTGAATTTCTTGATCATCACAATAACTATCAAGTGCTCAAGAAAATTCTGTATTATGAAGATAGAGTCTATTCAGTATACTAAGATTGTTTTCAAGAACAGAAGCATAGGAGGAAAGGATGCTTAAATGGTAAATCAAGGGACAAGTTTCTTAAGACATGTAATAAAATAATGTAACAGAATATAACAAATGAGCTACTCATACAATAAACTCTTTCTTTATAACAAATGTTAGAGTTTACTTGTAGTAGTTTAGAGTTTTAAAATCATTCTTAAAAACGTCTATTTAATGTTCCTAGTAGTTATTATTTTCCTATATTTTAGTGTAAATATTTTGCAGCCATTCTTGCTCATAGGTTTTTGCAGCTGGAGTTCTTTGGCTTTTGGGTGAGAACAGTGTGAAACGTTTCGTGTTAATCAATGTTTCTGTAAATATCACAATTACCATTTTTAAGTCCTCCAGAACTGTCCCCACCTTATACCCACCTTTAAAATGGCAACTGAAATGTTTGCTGAAACAATGGTTAACACCAAACATGTAACATGGCTCTCACCTGAAAGCTGAAGTTATATAACTTGCAGTCAGCAATTTAAAAAGAGTTAAAATGGTTTAAATTAAATAGTTTAAAGTTTAAATGTCAAATTTTACACAGACTTCCCCAACAGTATAAACAAATGTAGAGAAAATTATTTTACATTTGAAATCCATTATACTTAAATATGATCTTCAGTATTATTTATAACAACCTATAATCAATAACATCATAATTTATATGAATATAGCAAATGGAATCATTTACGTAGTTAAAACAATCAAGAGCTGCAAGTCACATGCAGTTCTGTAGTGTAGGGATAGTGAGTTGTTCACAACTAATTTCAAAATGTAAACTTGTTCAAAATTTCAGATCTGCAGTAAAAAGGGCACTGTACAAGTCTAAAATATGTGCAATAAATATAAGACCATCTTCATCATTATCATCACCATCATCCTCCTAATTACAACATCACAGCAGGTATTTTATGACAAAGCCTTGTCGATTCTCCTCTGTGTGCTGTGAGCGCTTGTGTCTGTGTTCATCCTTCCCTACTCCCTTTTGTGTTTCTTATCAGATTTGATATCCTTAGTGATCATTTATTCAGCATCATTAATTATTACTGCTGTCATACTGTTTTGAACATTTTACAATTTTTCAGTCACATTATTCTGGCTGACAAACTTGGAACAGATGTATCTTAGGAAGTATGGTGGGACAGTGTAGATCGGGTTATGTGGCTCAGGACAGGCATAGAAGTGGCCGGCCCTTGCAAACACAGAAATGAAACCATGGGTTCCATAAAAAGTGGGGAAAGTCCATACTGCAGTCAGCTTCACAAGAAGAAATATGATCAGTGGAATTGGTTACTAATTCTGGTTCCAAAACTAATTCACTGTATCTCTACCCATGCTACCTGTTTATATATCCTGTATGTTGAGGAATTTGCAAACAATATCACATATATTAAGCATTATAACATACTCTTCTGACTTCATTTCTATTTTATGTGGCTCAATTGCACTATTTTCTGATTAACAGTTTGAAATTGTTTGGTACTGATACAAATATGAACATATGTGTATGTATCCTTTGCACCATTCACGTCTGGCGATTTTTTGTAATGTGTCAGGGAATTATGAATAACCCTGTATATTACTATCATACCAAGAATTTTCAAAATCTTAACCAAAAATTATTTCACAGCAAAACAAGTTAACATAAAAACTGCAATAAAAAGTCACTGAAAGAAATTGTATACAAAAGAGTGAGTGTTGATATCTGCTGGTACCGAGAATAATTTGATAGCAAAGGTAACATTTCCATTCTGTAGAATTATGTGTCTTCTCCCTTTTTACACATTTCCAAGTTCTTAGCTTAGGATTTCAATTAATTAAAAGTTCCCCACCTCCTCCACTCCATTAGTTTCATCAACTTTAATAAGTCCTTATTAAATGCTTTGCACATCCAAATTTTGAAGTTAATGCTTATGTCGACTAAATCTCTGGCGACAGAGCCCTAGAACTTAAGGATTCAATTCATTAATCTTTTCCATGCTACTGGTTCTTTTGATCTGGATGTATTTGGTGTTTAAACAGATCAGTAAAAGTGAACTGCGTGTAGACTTACTTTCCCCAGCTGAATATCAAAGCAATACTAACAGAGGCGCACAACCCACAAAATTCATTGTTACGTAATGTTTTTATTCTATTCTATGGCCATCTCAAACAAGCCCAGCATGCTAGCACATGAGTTAAAAATATATTGTGATCAGAAAATAACTTGGCATATGGCTTACATCACAATTATAGGAAATTTTTAGCAATTCTTATAGTAACTGAAAATACATTTGATAATAGATTCAACTGCATGACTTTAACTGCTACCCAGAATTAAGACCTTAAATAAATGTTTTCAGAAAGGCATGGCCAAGACTTCCACTGCAACTGTTACAAGCTGCTCGTAATAGTTGCTCACGCACCAATACTCTGCCCATAGTTATAATTTATTGGTGAACTCTAAACTTATATTATCTAATTATAATATTGAGAACACTAGATTTGTAGGACTGGAAGTGTGTGCAATAGGAAAGAAGTGTTTTTATGAGTTCTGGAAGGAACTCATTGTATTAACAGTAATCTCATTAATTTTGGAATTATATAAATTAACAAAGTCATTGAGAAGGACTTTATGAAACAGAACAATCATATGATAAATGAAAGATAACTAAATCCATACGTGAAACTCTCTGCAGACTCCGAGTTGAACAACGCCAGTTCTGTTCACACATTACAGAATGTTTCAGTATGAATTTGTTTACTAAACAAATAAAACAACAAACAGTGCATTGACAACATTATAAATTACCAACACACATTATAAATAGTAAGGAAACAGAATTTGACAGCAGGTATACTTTATTTCATTGCCAGCAGAAGGTCAAAGTTGTTTCTTAACTCAAAATTATTTACTTTATGCTTTGAGAGATATCTGTAAAGGCAGGTTTCATCTTGTAACATTTATTACATCAGCACGGAATGTACACTACTTCACAGAAGTAGCTATTTTATGCCAGTAATTGGCTAATAGTCAGTGATAATATTTAGGGCATTCAACTGTAACATGAAACAATATGATATTGAGATAATAAAACAGTATATTTCAAATATATTTTATAACGAAAGAAAAACATATATTAGCTTAATAATTATCTCAATTCTCTTCTTAAACCTATTTTGTCAAAATTAAATATTTGGACATTCAAACATAAATAACAAACAATTATTTTCCATAAGGGAGTTGCACTCTTTTTATTAAGATAATGCTGATTTTAAGGCTAAGGGTAATAATAATGATAAAAGTAATGAGTATAAAAAAATGACATGAACAGGGATAAGTGAATAATATTTGGTCAATTAATTACGTGTTATTATTGATAAATCAATTAATATTGTAGCTGATTTGACAGTGTTCTTGCTGATGGCTGTGCCTTCTGTTTCCTTTGTTATTCACAATGTGTTGGTCCCTATACACCAGTTACTTACACTGTTCGACGTGTTCAGGTGGGGTAACTGAACGCTTACTAAGCCATTTCCAGTTTGGATTTCCTGTTCTCACAAGAAAATGACGAAATTCTGCTTCAGGTGTTGGGAATTCATGTTCTGAATCATAATGATATTTGCAATATGTCCTGAAAATATAGAGAAATAAATGTTCTCCCACAGAGAATAGCAATGAAACTGACTACTTCATCAGACTCCAACTGGATGGCAAAATAATCTAAGACTGACTCTTCCTATACAGATACAAAGAACAAAATCATATCAGCAGATTATATATCATTATAAAACTAAGATTTAACGTTAATTAAAATATATAATATAATTCAGGTCTATACACAAACTTTATTTACAGATGTTAAAATTTAAAATTTAAAATTTGCGCTATTCATCGTTACTACGATGTTACAATACTGCGCCTTCATTTACTACATGTTTCGATGCGTAGCATCATCTTCAGGTTTTTCTTTTAAAACTACTTTATATTACAAAACACAAACATGACGCATTTAAACTTTAAGATTTAACGATATTAATATGTCTCTCTGAATATTTTTATATACTGTTTTACAGTAATGAAATCTAGGAACTGGGAATCTAGGAACTAAAGAAGGGCAAAGGATAAGCTAGGAAAGACCAGTGCCACATCTGCAGAAAGCTGGAAGATGTCAGACAAATTATCTTATATTGTAGTGAAACTGCAGGTTGTACATATTATTTCAAGTACAATACATGACTGAACTACCAAGAGGATTTTGTTAAGTAAGATAAAAATGAGAAAGGTGAGTGCATAAGATGGAAACAGGACAATTTATTACTTTTATTATAATCCCATTTGTATTTGTATTAGAAACAAGTATTGTATTTGTGCTATGATATGTTCTACATCCTTGGCTTAGACCTGTGAAGGATCAGTGGAATGTAAATAAATTCTATTCTATCCTAATCCAACATTGTTTACCAAACTATAATGAAGAACTCATTGGTGAAATGCAGAAACTTTGTTTTTTCATGTTATTTTTTATCTTATGAATAACAAATTATTATTTAAGGACTGAGAAGATTTCCAGTTTCTTGGAATCAATGCTCAAATGTGTTACACTTACCACTCAGGGTGAATCCTCCAATTGTCTCCTTGGAAAAACTGTGATACATTTACCCCTGGAAATGAATTACATTTATCCAGTAATGAACAAAAATAAGCCTACATGCTTCACAACTCAGAAGCCCACAATCCTCAAATTAATTATATTATCAGCTTGCATAATATAAAAATCCATGCAGTATATATAAGCCAAAAGGTTCATAAAACATTTGAGAATAAACAGTAAAATTTAAGACCTTAATAAATCAAAACCACATTAGAGTATCAGAAAACAGAGCATTACAGATAGCCTGGCTTGAGTGGGAGAACAGATTACTTGTATTTAGGAAGTGCCTATTCAAAAACTCAGAGTATTGGTTGTCTTAAGATTTTTCTTTTTTCCTCAGTTCCTTCTGGTGAATTTCCAGATAGCAACACAAAAAAGGCCACAACTGCTTCCTCACCAGCGCTTTAAAGTTCCTCATTATTCCATCTCATTTTAACCTAACTCACATGTACAGAATAATTACATAACCTATAAACCACCACACCAAAATTTTGCATTACAATCATGTTTTTCTACAACAGTCTTGTCCTCTTTAAAACGTCTGTGAATGGTTTTTAACATACTTTCGAAATTCTACATGGCATTATAATACCCAGCACAGCTGTGTTCTGTGACAACACCAATTTTAATTTTCATACACAGGAATGAATAAACACTAATATATATTTTTGAAAGGCATGAATGAAAAGTGTCCTTAACAAAATTTGACTGAAACACAAGAGGAATCTGACTTTATTAAACTTATATCTCACAAACATAAAGTTACTTACCCTCAGCATACTGTCGGCGAATTTCTACTTGTGCATTGACAGAAACCAAGCCATAGTGATCAGGCAGAGCAATGACCAGAGTAAATGGGGTGTTTTCAATACCAGTGTAATAATAATGGCGCTTTGTATGTGAGACACGTTTCTGAAATTCATCATATGATAATTATTACACCAACAATATTATAACTTCACTGAAAATAATTCCATTGCAGTACATTACTTTGCTTCAAGTAAAAACCTGATCAACTTAAATTAAACAGTCTTAGTTTTTAAAATATCATCACCTGTTGCTAATATGGCTAAAAAAAGTGAGCACCATAATCTCTACCTGGAATACATTGTTTTCAATCTGTGCATATGCTTACCATATCATCATAATAATACTTGACTTCCAGGGTGGTTGCACCAGTACTTTGATTAATAACGTCACTTCGAAACTGGAAAAAATAAAAATTAAAGGACTCTTACCACCAGGTAGAACTTTGTAAAATTATTTAGTTATGAATAAAGACAATACTAGATTGGTTGACAGTTTTCCTATGAGGTGAGTGCCATATCTGTTACAGAATAAGGTCATTGTTTCTTTGAATATAGCTGAAATTTCCCTCGTCTCAGCACAATGCCATGATGGTAAAAAGGGGCATGGTGGTAAAGACACATACACTCTGACCATGGAACATAATAAACATAAGCATTTACATTACAGTTACAGCATGTTAGACATTTTCCAGTGCTTTAATCATTTTTATTTAGAAATAGATAATGTTGGACATAAAATTTGTGTCGTGTTAAGTACATCCAATATCATTACTGTGCCTCACCTCCTCAGGTTGCAAATGGAGGAGATGGCCTCCAGATATGGAGGGTGGCTCTAATTATATTAAGTACTCAGTCGCAGACAGTTGAAAAAGTAGTCCTCCAGCTTGGCAGTTGAGAAGGAGGCTAACAGGCCTCATAGTAAAAAGCTGCATATTATGAACATAGTCACAAATTGGAGAATAATATTAAAATTCATCTTAAAGAAGCAAAGCATGAATGTGTGAAATGGATTCATATGGTTGGAAGGTTCTTATGATTGTGATAATGAATTTTTCAGGTTTCATAAAAGGCAGTGTGAATTTCCTGAACAGTTCTACGAATATCAGATTCTGAACACATTTGCCGATTTTTAATTTTATATACAAATGCATCTCAGACAATGGGCATGCCCCGTGTAAATGCAGTGCAAGGAAACAGTCACAGACTTTTAGAAAATCATTTACTTCAATGTGTAGCTTCATATTCCAGACATTTTGAACCAGAAACAGAGGCCATGTAACCATTGGGTATGAAATGGGGCTGAGCCTGACCACAACGTGAATGAAGTGGGGAAGAAAGAAATCCCTGCCACAGACAGGAATCGAGCCCTGGGCATGTACATCTTAGTCACTCTCCAGACCATTCTTAAGCTCCCTCCTATGAATTATTTTACTAACTTACTTCACGTAGTTTTGGATTTATATCCCTCGCTTCTCTGTGATCATCCACCAGCTCAACCTCGGCCATGTCCACACTGTTGTAGCTAGGCTTCAGAATACCCTGGAACTGAAAAGGATGATACATCTGTCAGCACTACATTTACAATACTAATTATTTAAGTATTATACCTCATGAGTGTCATTTAAAGAATTTACAAAATCTGTAAGTCAATATCAGAGAAGAAAACAGATTTTTAAATATCCTGTTTTTGGTAATTGGATTAAGTGATATTATGAGATGAAAAGTTATTAAGATATTTACACTTATAATATGTAGGAGCAGAATACTCATCTTTGCTGTGTTAACCATGTTATCCTGGCTAAAACTTTGAAAAATTAAAACTAAAGCCTTCTGCCTTAATTTCATGGTTTGGCAATAACAAATGCACTTTATGTGGTTGGTTTTGCTATGTTTCAGTTTATGGGGTATTAGTGAATCATACAAGTAAGATGAAAGACTTTTGATTTTTTCAATGTGTTAGCTGGCTAACACGGCTAACATGATTAAAATTATAACTACGCCATTTATAACATGAATTACAGACTGAATATTTTTAAAAATAACAAATAAAGTCAAAGGTGAAATTATTAGCAACAATCGATAAAATTGTCAAAATATAGTAATGCTTACATACCCAATAGTCAGCAAGATGCACTTACCACTGGGCGGAGGTCAGGATGTGTTAGTATGTACCCATTGTTTGTAATTATGAATGCATATCCATTTACTCCCAACTGAAAAATTAAGTAAAAATGTTTGTGACACTCATTTATTCTATTTATTACATTTTAAGAGGTGATTTGTATACAACATTTTCACAGCCTACACTGAATAATGTTAGCTTTGTACCCATCCCACAGATTTCATTTATTTACCAAGTTCTCTATACAGAACACTGTGTCAATCTGACACTGGGTCCCACAGATGGGCACAACTGCTCCACCAGGGTTGTTGTTGGAGTTAAGAAGGGCATTCATGATGTCTCTAGTGTGTAGTACACACTGGTTTTCACAAAAGTGACACATATTGATGTTTGTAACTGAATGACAGAGTGGGCAGCTCACTAACAAGGTTCTGAAGAAGGAAAAGTAACAAGTCAGTACCAAAATTAAGCATACACACCTTATGTGGCATCATCAGCTTCTGGATGTCCTGTATTGGAACATCTGTGCCTGCCACACCCAACAGACGTGCAATTTTTGTCTGTGCCACAAAAAGGAACAGAAACAAAGTAAATTACTTTGAGACTAAGATTTATGGTGGCTCTAATACTTATAACAAATGCCACACTTTCATCAAATATTCAGCTCACTGTACAAGATAGTATAAGAAATAAATTTCATTCTAAGATGTGTAAGTACTAAGGACTATAACAAGTGCATACATTACATGAAAATAACTACAATAATAAATAAAGTAGTTTAACCCTTTAAAGCCAAAGCTTGTATAAATTCATACCACAAACAAAGCACAATGCATCTCCATTAGAAAGATCAATCGATTCTACAGTCGCACCAATGCCCTGAGGATGAGAACAGCGTAGTTCTCAAAATGTTGATGGTTTCTTCACCAGTTCAACCTACACGGCTGACAACCCAAAAATCAATTGATATATTCTGTTTAAGGAATTAATTGCTATTTTCTGACAATTATACAAATGCATAAATACATTCTGCGGGTAAAATTCAGACTTACTGATCATTAATGCAGTCAGTACATACTCTTGCAACTGAACTTTAAAGGGTTAATGTCACAGTTCGCACAACAAATAATTTTGTGAGTATGCTAACTGAAGTGTAAGATTAGGATTGTGGCCTCCACAGTTACAGATTTAAATCTGTGTGAACTATACTCATGGAGCACACTGAGAGGCAACATGTATACAAAGAATCATCATTCAGTGTGAAAACTGAGAGAAATTTCTGCTATATGAAGACAGTAGTTTAATCTTATGTTTGAAAAAATTATTTTCTTACAATGCTTGATAGATGTAGATAATGAAAATATAAACTTTCTTAGCAGATATATGTGATACCATTTATATTTTTGTTTCTATGAACTTAGCCATTAGTTCACATCGTTTCTTGTTTTGTACTATGCCAAATAAAATTTGTGCACAAATAGATTAAGGCACCAAAAATTTTAATAAAATACTTTTAATATTACCTAGAACCTGCACTGAACTGTAATAAATTTATGACAGAACTGAAATCCATAAACTTATTATTGCTTCACTTCATGTATATACAGCATACATTTTGGTTCTTCGAAACTGCTCATCAGTGTTACTGCATCAGATTTTAACTTCATTCACAAGTCTAAACATTTCAAAATCGATGAACATTGTTTCAATACAAGATGTTTCAGAAGTCACAAATTCTGTAATATTTCAATGGTCAAAAAGTTATTTAGACCAGTCTGTATTGTTCCCAACTTATTTTTCATGATCTGAAGAAATTTTTAACAGAAATCTTCATACTCACCGCTGTGAAAACTTCAAATCTTACAGAACTTGAATATATAAAAATGATCTCATCTATCATGATCCTTCAAAGTTGAATTAGTTTATTCATAAAATTTAAATATGTGTTCAAGTAAATTAAATCAATATACAGGGTCATTCATAATTCCCTGACACATTAAAAAAATTTCCAGACTGGAATGGTGCAAAGGTTGGTAACATACGACGTGCGCTGCATCGTTGGCCACTCCGATCACTTGACTTGATGCCATGTGATTTTTCTTATAGGGGCACGTTAAAGACCAGGTCTTGTACTGCCTCTGCCACGGGATCTGCCTGAGCTGTGAAGATGAATCATCGCTGCCATCTCAAATCGAAAGTGACATACTATAGCGGGTGTTGGCGGAAATGGAATATCGGATAGACGTCGGCCACACCACAAAGGGCAGACACATAGAGCATTTATGAAGTACGTAAAATAAACTTGGAGGGTTACTACTCTTTCTATCGGCATGTCATATGTTACAATCCATTGCGCCATTCAATTCTAGCGATTTTTTTTTATGTGTCAGGGAATTATGAATAACCATGTATGTATAAACACACATTCAATTTTCTTAAAATAATATAAATTAACTCCCACTTCTGATTATTTTATACTTTTACTTTTATTCATATTTTTTTAAGAGTAGTGCTTGTAGCACTAAAAATAGGCAACAACTAATTCATCTTTTTTTAATCAGTTGAAAGCAAACACTGTGGAACATCTTGCATAGAAATAAAGTTTGGGCTACCACCCAAAAGTTAATTGATAATTAAAGACACAGACTGTCAGTATTCTAAAATAATGCTAATGGAAACAAATACACACATGTACATACAAAAAGTATTATATAGTATTATATGCGACATCAGCTGTGAGCATCTAAAGAAATACCCATGCAGGGTTGAAGAATCTAAGCAACAACTACATAGTGAGAGATTAATTTCCAAAACCTACCAACTCCAGTTACATATTTTTAAGAACTTTTTTTAAAAATAAAAATACTACTGTTCAAGCCTAGAAGTACGTAAGGAAGTACTGTAGAAGGATTTAGCAGGTTTCTGTAAGAAATAGTTGTAACTCTGTTTTGGCAAGACAAATTCTAGCTAAAGACTTGACAGCATAAGAGGCCTATAACTATTATGCCAAGCATATCATTTTACAAAACAAGACAACTTTTACTGCAGTACATGGAATGAGCATTCACTTGCCAAAACAAGGTTGGTAAATACTGTATCAACTACAGAAGTTAATTTTTTGTCTTTATAAATAGTACCTGGCATAAAGGAATAAAAAACAACTCTTAAATATTTGTATAACCCCCAACAAAATTCAGTAAATCTGTAATATGAATGTCAACTGCATACAATCTAACAGTGATTTCATTACAAGTGTAAAAAATGAGACCATAATTTAATGTTTAAATATAGTTTCTAGAATTTAAAATTTATGAAATTTCAAGACCTTTGAGATGTAAATTTTTACTTCATATGTATTTCCCAAATCAAACAATATTCTCAATTAAACTTATAAATTATTAACAAGCAAATCAAACTTTTTTTTCTCATTTTCCTGAATTTATATTCTTGTTTGGATTTTTATAACCTCAAAACATGTTTCAAGTCAGTGCATTTAGTATCATTCCTTAAAGCCCTTAAATATGCCACAGTAAACTTTCTTAACAACCACTTTAATAAATTTTAAAAGAATGAAAGTCATAATGATCTGGCTAACAAAGCCCCAAATTATGCACACTATTTCAAGACTACAATTCTCAGAGTTTATGATGCACATTCATAACTTGTAAACATTTTTCTTAGTCGCTCAGCTATCATTACCTTATATTTTACCACCTGTGTCTTTCGTATCTGCACTGAGAACCACCCCACTGATGAATACCCCCAACTGAATGGACTATGTTAGTCAGCAGTAGGATTGTCAGTGATAAAAAGCACATGCCCATTGTGGGACTTGAAGCCAAGGCCCCAAAACATATCTAATCCAACCATTTGCATACCTTCAACTACATGAATACTAGAATAGCTTACAGAATTTGTAATGTCCTATTTTGAGACACATGGCTTAAGAACAAAGAAAATTCACACCAAGAAGTGAACTTCATAAATTCTCTTATATTTACAGCAGTTGGCCATTCTGCTTGTTATAACTTACTATATTATTAAATTTTTCTACCTAGATCCAGGTACTGTTATAAAAATAAAATAATTGCACCCCTGCACAAAGGAGGTATCAGATGGTACCACTACATAAAAATCATTCAGTATACAAATTTGGGAGTTGGTAACGTGTTGGAAATAAAGCTTCTCAACTGATGCTAGAGTTAATGGTAATAGAATAAACAATTATATACTCAATACCCTACTCAACATGGACGTCAATATAACCAACTAAATATTCACGTTACAAAATGGCAAAATAACTAATTTGAAACAATTTTACTTATCACATAAAGTAATAGGGTTCTGAAATGAATAGTAGAGGGATCCAGCTTATTATTCCATTATAAATTCAGTATATTGATAATTTTATAACTTAAACTGCCAATGCTTTTCTAGGGCCAGAATGTCTCTTGAAAACAGGTTATAAATTTATTACTGGATTGCTAAACATGTCATAGCTTCACAGTAACTATTCATTTTTAGGACTTTTATCAGACATTCTCAGCTGCCATGTAAGTGCTAAGGACTAGATTTCCTTACTGTGACAAAATTAACTCAGTTTTAATATTTATTGAAAAGACATACAGCAATACAAACATAAACACAGACAATAAATTTAGAAAATACTAAGAAAAGAAACTGTTTCCTGTGGGCTAATGGAGAGAATAAGGGACATTTATGCATAAAAGTTCATTTACTTCCTTAAGTAAAATGAATCTTAAAATGAACTAAACAAAAGTAGCATACAAAATTGTAGGTTAAAAACCTGTACCCCCTTTACATTCTGAAATGGAAATTTGTTAGACCTCTATCATTATGAGGTTCCACTAACTGCTTAAATAACAAGTTTCACTCCTTTTATATTTTGATAAACTACTCTAGTTTACTACAGTGTACTATTTAACAGCTATCCTTGCATGCATTCTAAAAATAAAACCTTAACCTGTAACTTTAGGTGATTAGGAAGGCATTGATTGTATGTCTACAGACAGGAGTACCATTTATTTTTTATTTTACATGCACTGTATATGACTGGATTCCTCTGTATTCATCAGCAAACCTCTTACTTTACCATGGTTACTGTAAAACATATTCAAAAAACAAAGACTCTATGTCCCACTACAGCACAGTATGTGTATGTATATATATGGTTCTATTCCATTCACTGAGCCATGACTAGTAATGGCAGTCTGATGATAATGAAGATATTTTAAATGAAAACAAAGTTCTAATTTTCTAATTAGCTGAGACTGTCTGTTACCTCCTCAACTACCTACAATAATAGTAGTAACTATCACCACTTAATAGATTTGCTACATAAAAACAACTGAGAGTCAAACTGATTTAGTTCTGTCTACCTCTCTTATTTTTTCAACCCAAATCGCCTCATTTATGAGAATCCGTTCAGTGATGTTCTGCAGACAGGAAAATGAACATGACAATAATATCACTGAGCTGAAGAGAACAACATTTGTAATTGTAATGAGAAAAACACACTGGAGGTAACAAAAAACAACAAAAATTTAATAAATCAGATTATCACCACTGCAATTATTTTCCACTATGTCTGTTTTACACTTTCAAACATTAATATTGAGTGTACACAGAACACCATGATTTCACAACTGTGTCATTTATAAATCACTTTTAATTACATTCAAAATATCTTATTTTTGTTCACTGGGGAAGGCAGATATGAAAGCAGAAGGTACAATTTCCCAAGGTATCAACATGTAAAAAATAAGTAGCATTCTCTTAGATATTACAAAGACATTCCACTCAGGACAGTGAAATTTAGAAGAAATAACTCTGATTTCTAATGCGTAGATAACGTGCTTATTACAGTGAATCCCTAATTTAGATAACAGTTGTGAAACCGAAGTATTATCATACCAGATGTATTTATGTTCAAAATGCAAAACAAATAAATCATAATGTAATGTTAATATTATGATAATAAATGACACTATTGACTTACATTAATGTACTTCTATTGTGATAATTATTTAATTATATGAAACCACAAAATTAAACAGCATGACATTAAGTTATGTGGAAATATATTATATTAATATAATATTTATAGTCATACCGCATTCTCCCTCTGGTCAAAAACAGGCATTGAGACAGAGGTCATAAGCTGATACTTCTGATAATCTTCACTTTCTTCATCGTTGTCCATTGCCTGCATTCAAAGAGAACAAAATACTGTGGTTTAATATTACAGTAACAGGTCCTTTGTGCTTCACATTCATGTGTACAATTTTAAATTGTGTAGTGAGGAAAATGCACACAACAAAAATCCAGACCTTGGTTCCAATTGTGGAAAAAATTCTTATTAGTGGTAGATTAGGAAAACCATTTCACCACAAAAGAAAAGGGGCATGCACTGTCAAAGCATCCTCATAGACTGACTACTTGGTGTTAGCACATATGTATTACAGCAATAACCACACGTCTGAAGGTCACATCAAGATTGTCAGAATCATTATAAAAGTCACTATTACCCTTCTTATCTTCTGAACGTATCTCCGATCATGTTCTTCATTACTTATGTGGTTGTTATGAAACCTGTCTCTAAAGTATGTTTCATATATTTCTTTCTGTTCTGTACACACTCTTTTTTCCCATAGCCAGTCTGTCATTTTAGGATCCTGCAAACCAAATCACATATAAAATGTATTCCACCATACATTTATCAAAGTAATTTCATATGTGCTTACCCTCTGTCCTTAACACTCCTTGTAGAGTATTGTGGCAGATTTTTAGTTTTAAGAAATTCTACAGCAGAAAAATAAACAGAAAAAAAATAATTTTATATATACATAAAATAATCTCCATTACTCTCATAAAAGAAGTAACAGACTTCACGTTAAAGAATCGTCTGAGCATAGAATAATACTTTGAGCCCTTGTTATAATATTTATGTAATAATAAAACAAAATGAGAGGTAAAGTCATTCCTGTGCTAAACCACCATTGTTTAGTGAGGTAGAGTTTCACACCTATTTAATCTGTGCACTAAAGGAAGACATGTGATCATCTTCAAAATCCATGTTGTATTTAATCATCTAAAAATCATACTTACTGTTATATCAGCATATACAGGTGTCCAGTTAATGGGATGTTCCGTTTTTGTTAGCACAAGGGGACGAGCCATGACAGGTATGTAGTGCAACACTTGTTCTCGCACCTCAGCTAGAGTACTTAACGGTACATAGTAACCTGTAACAAGTTTTAAAAATTTGTTTTTAAAGTACACAGAATTATAAAAGCAATTCATTTACAACGAAATTCCATACAATAAAGTCTCAGTGTCTCCAGGAGTCTGTCACTTCACTGATTGAGCTATTACAACACAAAATCAGTCATAGTAATTATACATCATACCTCGATTTGCACAAGCCATCCACTTGACTTCTCGAACATCTGTAACTTCTCGACCAATCAGATAAGTGAAGACACGGACTGGCATATTGGGAAAATTTTTCCAATTGTATTCTTCAAAAATTTCCTTATAATTGTATGGTACTCCATCAGTAATCAGCATGATTGCCTGGTTACAACATGCCCCCTTCTTTGTTTCCCTGTACTGTCAACAACACAACACAATTATCCATCAAGTCTGTTAAGTCCACTTAGCTTCCAACAAAGGATGAGCCACTGAACTATTTAATTTGTTTTGTAGGTACTTTCCTACACTTTCTTTTCCTTTTATAGTGTTTATCAAATGTTTGTACTGTGTAAAATGATGGGCATAGTATCAAGAAGAATATTCTTTTCCTGCTCAACTCTAAGTGCTCACATCCCAGCAGATGTAGTACATATATTAAATATATTTTCTTCTGATACTACATATACTGTATTTCAAAGTGGACCAAAAGATCTGTATATTTTTAATGAAATAGGTAATCTTTTTTCCAAGTTCAATTAAATTTGAGGTCAGAAATCCAATTTTTCTATAAACTAAAACAATTAACACTACTTAAAATTACACTATATCTTCTTTCACGCATTTTGTAATAATTTTTTTTTTCATGTATATTTTCAAGAATATGTATATTTATTTAATAATAAGTTTAAATGCAATACTCATTTCTGGTAGATTTAAATATCCGAAAATAAAAAAGTTGACTCAAAATCACTGAAAACCATTTCAATATGACCTACAATTAATGCTCCCCTGGAGATCTCTAGTGACTGATTCTGAATAATGTGTGTGATAAAAACATAATTCTAATCTAATAATTAACTGATTACAAAGTTAACAGCTTCAACACAGAACTAAGGTTATATTAAAATGATGGCTTCTTCGATCTATTGTAAACACTTCACACATGACTGATGGAAAAGTGTGGAGCATCACTGAATCAGGACTGGCAGGAAACAACTTATTCTATTCTACTTTGTCTATCACAAATTTTGTATCAGTAACTGGTAATGATCCAAAACACTGATTTGTTTAGTAGGATGTCTCTTACCTGTTGCAGTAATTCAAATGCTTTACTGAGAACTGCAGAGAAATTTGCAATTTTGTCAGTGTGCAAGTCTTTCATTCCCTGCTTGAATTCTCGGACATTGGCAAGGTTTGCCTGCGACAAAGAACAGTTGACTTTTACAGTTTCTGCAAGTGGTCTCCAATACCGTGACTTTTAGCATTGAATGTTTAGATTAAAGCTGGAATAATACAAGTTCTCTGGAGTACATGACATACGATGCCATGAATATGATTGCTGTATTCATGTTCATGTTCTGTAATATAGTACCTCATGGTTTATACCATTTTCCTATATATTTTTTGGATAGTCTATTCAAGGAAGACGCAGTGGGCTGGATACACAGCTTAGACAGGAGAACAATATTAAATATTTCATATCCAGTATGATTTAAGTTGTATGTGAATGAAACTGAACTTACTCGGAATCAGATCCAATGTCGGGATTTTGTGACAGTAGTCATAACCCTTCTGAATAGTTGCTGGATGATATAAATTCAAATATGTTAGACTTTCAGGCCAAATTATGACCTTTTTTATTGTTACCTGAACCAGCATATCCTTGAAACATGGCACAACCTCATCAATCTCTTCCGAGAAGTTAAATATGTTGACAAAGTCATTGTTGCCAAGTGTATCAAGGATGTTGCTGACTACATGACGAGCAATCTCCTTCCTTATACCTGTCATGGAACCAGAGTTGTCTACCAGGATAAGCATATCTTTAGGACTTGCAGCTGCCTCAATGTACCATGAACGAGTCCGACAATCGTAGAGATCCACCGAGTCATTCCTCCATTGCATGGCTACACACCCAGAAAGATTAGGCAAATACATTTTATAATGTTACAGAAAAGAACAGTGGTCTTTTAAGTTGGAAATATTTACATATTCAAGCACTGAAAACAGGAAATTACTCTTTTATGTGTAAAATGAACCAAAGGATTATTTACATGGCATCACTTATTGTGACATACAAAATTTCATTACGAGGAATGCAGCCTGGAATTCCTTACTGCTCCTGATGAAGATAATGTAACAAGTAAACAAATATGTCTATTATCCTATAGGTTACCACAACAGCATATTAAATACAGTGGAACCTTGGTATAACGCAGGTTTTGGGAGACGTCTTCAGTACCCGCGTTGTAAGCTACCCACGTTAAATATGAAATTGACATTTATCTAACATAAAATATATGTAATCATATTATATGACATGATCAAAGCTGCAGATTATCCAAGTCCGCTGTATAACGAGGCGCGGTATATCGAGGTTCCACTGTATTTAACTACAGTAATGTAGATTGAAAATCCAACAGAAACTCTACTAATTGTTTATATAAACTTTACTGTTATTGTTTGCATATTCAATATAGTTCAATTAAAATATTAGATTTTAAATGGTAACATAAAAGAATTATAAATGTGAGACTTCAATAATACATGCATACATAACATAGCCATGATGTACTTATATAGTTTAAGTTTGCAGTAAAACTACGTTATGATTTGTTTAATGCTTGCAGGCAAATACAAATACACTCAGTCACACACAAACTCCCTCTCTCTCTTTTTTTTTAAGAATATAGGTTATAAACAGCTAAAAGCTGACAAGTAACACACCTGGATATTGTCTCATGAATCCTGAAGAACTGCCAAAATACTGCCATGACAATGAAGGATCATCCTGATAATTCCTTATAAAAATCTCATTCAAATTTTCTGACCATTTTATATCCTTCAGGATATCTGGTGCTGAAACATGGTGTAGAAGTACATACAATGTAAAATTACAGATCACATGGTCTTGCTCCTTAATTTTGTCCAATCTTGTTTGTATCCCTCTTCTTATATCAACCATTTACTTGGTAACTTAATACTTAACCCTAGTCTTGCGAGTAATTTCAGAAAAGGAGTGATGGTAGAAGTTTTGACTGATACAAATAAAATTCAACAGAACAACTTCACATTCACACACAGCTACTCTTTGTCTATTTCTTTCCAAGTTGTCATTCTTCAGACACTGCCCTACGATTGTCAGTAGAATTCTGAAAACAACCCACAGTCTTAAAATTATATCATGACGAGGTTAGGAGACAGCCAACCTAATACTGACATAATTACAATTACATTTGTCCATAACCCCAGGCAAAGAACTCAATCATACAACAAAATAAGATAGAACTACGAGAGTTCAGGAGCCTCCACTCATACTTTGGTTGTCAAAGGGACACCAGTTCTTGCCTCAGTACAGCTAACACATGCAATGTAACTGCTGTTGCTAACAGAAGTTTCTTAAACAACTTATTTTGTCTGTCTTTATTGCATTTACAAAACAAGCTGAAAATAAGCAACACTGAGGACTGCTACATTCTGTGATGTGGTAACGTGTAGTCTGGAAGGCATTGACTGATATTTCAGAGGAACTTACTGCCTCCATCATCAGCATTCATCACTTTGATTTGGAAGCAGCAAGATCCTCTGAAATGTCAGTCAGTATCAACCCAAAGTACAAGGTGCCAACTTCCTACTCATCGCCATGAGGACCCCAGATCTCACCGAGCAATACCTTGATCATAGACGTTGGTAGGCACGTGCACTGCACTGTGGCTAGTGTTAACAGGAATATTGTAGAAATGTTTATTGGGCGTGAGGATCATCTCCTTTGCCCCCTTCTCCAGGGGCTCTCCAGGTGGCCTCAATGTCTTAGTGTTGTAGTATTCATACTCTGTAACTACTTCATCCTGTTGTGACACAGCTGTTGCTTCTGCTGAATCCATAATCCGCTGCTCAGTATGAGTCATATAAAGAGAAATAAAACTGATATTTGGTGTCATGTACATAGTTTGGAATTACCCCAAACCCATCTACGCGAAGCAGCAGCACAACAAAATTAATATATAATATATCCATATATTGCAGGATTTAAGAATTTCAAATCTGTTCAGAAATGACTATGCACAAATCTGAAAGTTTTATCCATAGTACTTGTAAATTCATACATTATGCTGTGCAGAACGCTCAGATTCCATGAGGAGCTGCAAGAGTTTCCATTCTGAAAGCTTTTTCTAATGAGATTGTATATTTAAATGCTATGCTTGTCATAATAACCTCACTTTTCATCTGAAAGAACCAGAAAGAATTTTTCAGTGTTGCTGCCTTCAGAGATATGATGATACTGATGAGAAAGATGATAGCTGGCAGAGATTATATTTAGTTTAACATCGGGACCAAATCATAACTGTAGTCCACCAGCACCCACCCCCTGGTTCATTTTAATACATCCAGTGATAATCAAATGCAATATGAAAGTCCTTGATGACTGTAGAAATTCAAAGGACAAGAATAAAACAATCGAATCATGATCTCACCTTCACTGCACTGATTTTCAGGTCTGTCATATTCTTTATGTCATTAGCTATCTCCCTCACTAATGAGTTCCCATCTTTTCGATTTACCTGGGCAGACTTATAGTTCTGTAACAAACGCATGTAAACATTAGCAGGCCATATAACTTCAGCTTTTGAGTGAGGGCCACGTCAAATGCGTCATGTTAACCAATGTTTTGGCAAAAACTTCAGTTGCTTTGAGCTGATATTTTCAATGAGGGTATGAGGTGGGGTCGGTTCTGAAGGCCTTTGGTTAACACCAAACATTTTACGTGGCTCTGACCCAAAAGCCAAAGTTATAAATTAAACTCCAGCAATGAAAATTTATTGATAAGTATTGGCAGGCTAGTTATATGGTTAGTAAGTTGAAGAGTTCATTCCTCCATAATCCGTTTTCAGTCATGTAATGCAGCATGATGGTTATGGTTCCAGGAATCACGTACGCTTTAGAAGCCATTACTGAAGATTTGCCTAATAATCATTTCAGAAATTGAAGACATTTGTGTGGGTTGGGAGATTGAAAGAGGAAGAAAAGATGAAAACAAGAAAACAGAAGAAGATAAAAACAATAAAAAGTATATAATAAAGAGTAGGTGAAGGTGAAGGTGAAGGAAGAAATCAGGAAGATAAAAAAGTTAAAGATGATATAAAATAAGAAGGTAAATAAACATAAAAAATGTTTTAATATTATCTCAATTCCTACAAAGTTCAAGAATGCATCACTGAAAACAAATTGACTTCCTCCTGACATCTCAAATCTGAAAGAGACAATGCTGAAGCTCACCTTCTGAATTTCTTCTCTGCTGGTAACATATTCGCCCAGATGCCACAACTCCCCACCAAGTTTTCCAGCCCAGTTATGTACCCTAGAAACAATAAACATGATCACTGTGTGAATCCACATTCTCGCTTTGTTTATTGTGCTGATTTTATATGCATGGTTCTATGCAGGGGTGATCGGAATGAACCATGTAAATCGTTACTGGTGCAATTACAAGAGAGCAGGATTCCGGGTCTCAAAATGTTGTTCTGCTGTCAGACGTGCTTGCTGCTTCCATCACCAGGGAAATGAGTGGATGAGGACAATGATGCCCTGATGATGGAGAGAGCAGGTACCTATAATTAAAGAATTAAAAAGGTGGGAACATACTCTCATATATCACATATAATCCACATACAAAAGTAATTGTTAAATAATTATATGTTTTCATAGGCCTGTAGCCTTGCTTATCGTCTTCTTCCTTGACTTGGATTGTGTGCTATCAAGCCCGTCCCGAGTTCAGATGATTAAAATTGGTCCTTCCATTGACTTCTTGGTCCTCCTATTTAACTCTTTTCCATTGGTTCATATGTACGTAGCTTCTTAGACAATCTGTTTTAAACCATCCAATCAACATGTTTCCAATCAAATTGATAAATTTGTACTTCATTTGCAATATCTGTTGTATTTGTTGTGGCTATTCGGCTTTTAAAGTAAGAAAAATGAGGTAACAATTAACAACAATTGGCACTGAAGTCTATCAGGATGACTTATCTTATTCACGCTGGAACATTCTTCTAGTTTTTATAGGCAGCGAATGAGACAATGTAATCACAGAGCAAACATTTCCCAGTGTCAGAATGTAACAAAGGAAGGGTTTGTTTCCGTACAGGAATGTTACAGGCGTCAAGTTTGAATCCGCATCATGTGTGAAGGAGGGACATATAAATAGAATGCTAATGGTGTACATGCTTCAACGAAAGAAGTAATCACTACGCACTACGACTATTACTTCACCAGGTGGTCTATCGTTCGAAACAGCCAATGATCATAACACACATGACGTTCGAAACAGCCAATGATCATAACACTCCTGAACGTCAGTTATAAACACTCGATTTTCAAGAAATTAGTGTATCAGATTCGCATGTGTATAAACTAAGCATTTGTAATCTTTGGCCAGAGGGCCATACACGATCCGAGGACCGTATTTCTGTGGCCTGCGAACCTTATGGTAATCCTTAAAACAGACTGTATTCATATAGACTTATTTTAATCGCTCCTTAATTTACTAAATACCACTCGCGTTATCGCTTTGCTGAGTGAAGGACAGGTGTAGAGTGTTCATGTTAACCGTGCTAGCCAGGCTAACAGTTCTATAAAACGAAAATTAAAAAGTCTTCTGTTTTACACTGGAACACAACAGAACGAAGCAGATAACATGCATCGACAGCCGTCTCCAGCCAGCCAGGCGTTGTTAGCCAGCTAGCAGAGGCTTACGCTCGAGGCGAGCGCTGTACCTCGGGCTGTAAATTGGAAATAATATTTTCTGTACCCGTACTGTACCGCCACGGTGGTCTAGCTGTTAGAACGCTGGCCTTGTAATCCTGGGGTCTCGGGTTCGATTCCCGGCGGTACCCGAATTTATAACTTGTGTTGGGCAAGGCCGTGGTCTAGGCAACACGGAGTTTTCCTCCGTGGCATCCCAACAATTACTCCATTCACACACAGAAGAAGGCAATGGCAAACCACTGCTGGGTGGTCTAGCGGTTAGAAGGCTGGCCTTGTAATCCTGGGGTCTCGGGTTCGATTCCCGGCCGTGGCCGAATTTATAACTTGTGTTTGGCAAGGCCGTGGTCTAGGCAACACGGGGTTTTCCTCCGTGGCATCCCCACAATTACTCCATTCACACACAGAAGAAGGCAATGGCAAAGCACTTCTGGATCATCTGCCAAGAACGTATATGAACAGGTCCCAGTCCGAGAAAAGGATGGAAGGATCCTGTTCATATGGACCTGTCGTCAGACAGAACACTAAATAATAATAAAATACCCGTGAGCATATGAAATTGTTTTATTATTTTGGTGTGTGGAGGCCAATCTTACATTTGTTCCACACCTTTCACTAACATGCCCCTAACAATCATAAGGGCTATCATATAAAGAGCAATAAGATTGATGGGACAAGTAGCGCGCATGGTGGAGACACGAAATGCGTACAAAATTTTGGGTGGAAAGCCTAACGGGAAGAGTCCACTCAGCGTGGCTTAAATGGAAGAATAATCTTAACATGGGTTTTAGAGAAATAGGGTTTGGTGTGTGGATTGGTTTCATCTGGCTCAGATTATGGACCGGCGGAGAGATTCTGTGAACACGGTAATGAACCTTCGTGTTCCATAAATGGCGGGATGAATTTACAACCAATCGTCGAAGACTCCATAAAGTTACTTTATACCAAATTAGAGCACCTCTAATATAACATGCTCACAGAATAAAAGCCACGATTACTTAACATCACATAGGCTCATTCTTGACCCCCCCGCATACACATACCCCCCGTCGCTAAATGGTTCCTCCTGGAGTTTTAATCTACTGTGGTATATTTTGAAAAGTTAGCTTTAAGTTGCACTGACAACCAATTTTGTATAGCCCTGTACTACAATGTAATTTCAGAAGAAGTTTACTCAACTTTTGCCAGATCGATCCAAATAAAACAAATTGTGATTGTTTGAAGTTTCTTAGGATAACTCCGCGGTGAGTTATGTAGCAAATGATGGGTACTAGAACTTTCATGAATAGCTAATCGAGGTGGAAAGACATTTACGGTCACACTGCCCATTTATCAGACCTGCAAGCTAATATACGTCGCTCTAAAGCCTTGTTCATTTCACTATCAAAATGCTGGTTGACTTCTACGATTACAAAAGGCCTATTTTCTTAAAATGCTAATTTAGCTCCAAATATTTCCATATTTCAAATACTTGTATTTTATTTCCCCAAATTAAGACACGACTTTTCACATCGATACCATAACAAATCACAAAATTATAGCATATTCTGATTACTGGATGAGACAAAGGATTTTAAATGTTCTCATAATTTCATCATAAACTTCAGTCCTGGATGCAACGCTACAAGCCTCTCTGCTCAGATGTGCTTCAGATTCAGAAGATGGAGGCAGTATGTGCCTCCGAGACGTTAGTGCCTACTTACAAGAACACCCTGTGTTCTAACCCAGAAGACCAACATCCACATACGAGTAAAATTGAAGTTCTTGAAAATATGTCTGTGTTGTTATTCTGATTTCTGACGCCGTGGAGACGTGTAGGCGGATACCAACACTAAAATGAGGTCTGAAGATGGAGGCAGTATGTACTCTCGAAACGTTGGTAACTACCTACGAGTCCACACGGCGTCACAATGGATAACATCGTCACCTTTAACGGGATGAGACCTCGAAGCAAACGATCTTAAAACATAACCTATAAAATTTGGATAACCCTGAGTTCCCGAATGACCAAACCAGACACTGACAATGGTAAACGTTTCTGCATTTCTCCTTGTCGATATTTATAGGCTGAATATTTCCAGACTAAAGGTGGGAGAAGGGAACAGGTTGAGTCTATCTTCAGTTTAAACGTTACTATTTCGTTTTGCAGTCCATCTCAGTCAAGAATTCATTACGCAATCTAATACTGGAACCAAGTTACAAGACAGCAGACTTACTCGTCCTGTTAGCGCTGTTAGTATCATATTACGGAGACCACGGGTTCGAGGCTAGTCTGTATCGGCGTTGGGACGATACGCTTCGCGATGCTCAGCGTTGGGTATAGCGTAAGTTAGGTTAGGTTATGTTATGCCATGTTATTTTACTGTCTTCTTCATGACCATCGCCATCATTGTCATGAACCAGGATAACTTATACATTATAGCGACCAAGTTCCGGTCTGAACGACTGGGATTCGATTCCAGACCGCCTCTGTGACCCACCCAGACTCCTATCCTGTGGGTAAACGGGTTCCTTCTTAGTTGTAGAGCGGCTGAAGAATTAAGCTGACCATTCACCTCTATCTAGAGCCGAGTTCAGGAACTACGACTTCTCCACAAGTTTGAAGGACGTGGTGCTTAGTTAAGCTTCGGTCCAGCTTTATTATTATTATTTATTTAGTGTTCTGTCTGACGACAGGTCCATATGAACAGGATCCTTCCATCCTTTTCTCGGACTGGAACCTGTTCATAACGTTCTTGGCAGATGATCCAGAAGTGGTTTGCCACTGCCTTCTTCTGTGTGTGAATGGAGTAATGGTTGGGATGCCACGGAG